CTCAGTATGTATCCCAGGTTGGCCTTGAACTCATGGCATTCCCCCTGCCTCAGCCTCCCAAGTGCTGGAATTACAGGTGTGCACCACTACACCCAGCTATCTTTGCCAATTCTTGATAAATTTTATACTTGATACATTTTATACACCATAAAACTTTTATATATCTGATAGATGAATGGTGGTATTTCAGACTGGTTTTAATTTGTACATTTTTCTGGTTACTAATTAGGTTGTGTATCCTTTTATATGTTTATTAGTTACTCAGATTTTTTTTATGAGGTGCCTCTTCAAGTGTCTTGCCATGTTTTCTATTGTGTTGTCTATTTTACATTGATTTGTAGAAATTTATAAAAAACCTTTGACTATTAGACTTTTGTTGAATATAAATATTTTATTTTATTTTTTCAATACTTGGGATCCAACCCAGGGCCTTAATGCCTGCTAGGCAAGCACTCTACCACTGAATTTCACTTTCTGCTCCTTAAAGTGTTTCAGATATTTTCTCATACCTTATAGATTGCTAGTTTACTTTTAATGGTATACTTTAATGAATTGTTGTTCTAGATTTTAATGTCAAATTTATCATCTTTATTCCACAGTTATATAGACATTTTCTTCTATTATCTCCTAAAAGCTTTATAGATTTGCCTTTCACATTTAGATATACCTGGAATAAATTAAGTTCTGAGTATGGTTCTGAGTAGGAGTGATTAGCTTTCCCACGTCTGGGACAAAATTCCCAACATCTGCAACTTACAGGAGGAAAGGGTTAATTTGGCTCACAGATTCCGAGAGGTCAGTCGATGGCAGGCTGGGTTCAAGACAGGAGCATCAGGATGGAAGGATGTGTTAGAGCAGAGTTGCTCAGTTCATGATGGTCAGGAAGCACAGCTGGTTGGAAGGCATGCCAGAGAAAGGGCTAGGAACCGGATACAGGACCCAAGGTCATACCGTCATTACCCACCACCCTCCAGTCACTAGAAGTGTGCTTTACTAATTCCCTGGACAGTTCTCAAGCCAATCAAGTTGACAGATCAGCTTAGCTGTCACAGAGTCTAATTTTTCTTTTTTTGGAAAACAGTTAAACACCCTTTCTATAAAGACCATTTTTCCTCATTGCAGTGCTACCCTATATTTATCATATATTAAGCATCCCTATATATGCTAGAGTCTATTTCTCTCTGCTATTGCATCTCAGTATAATTGTATTATGGTCTGAAAATATACACTATATGTTTTAATATATTCAGAACTTTTTGAATCTAATTCTAAGCTAAGTGGATGTACTGTTTTTGTAAATGTTCCTTAAGTACTTTAATATGTATTTTGCAGGTGGTTAATATTTACATGGTATATCTTTTTCTATTTTTTCGTTTTTACCCTTTTGGTAACCTTAGGTTTTAGGTGTATCTTTCCATAAAATCATAACATCATTTATTTTGAACTGAAAAAATCCTGCCTGACTTTTTTTTCCCATTGACTTAATCCAGGATCTTTGCAATGAGCTATATGCTTAGCCCTTTTATTTTTTATTTTGAGACAGGGTCTTGCTAAATTGCTAAATTACTGAGGCTGTGCTGGAACTTGTGATCCTCCTGCCTCAGGCACCAAGACTGCTGGGATTACAAGTGTGTACCACCATGCCTGGCCTCTGCCTGACATCATTTGTTTATTTTTTGGAGCACTTAATACATTTGCATTTAATGTATTTTGGGTGTATGTGTGTTGAAATATATTACATTATAGAAATATTCTATCTTTTTTTACTTCTTCCTCTTGTTCTATATTTCTCATTTATCCCCCTTTTTAAAACTTTACTTATGTGTTGGTTAATTGCCTCTTAACATTACCTCCCACTCCACATCCTAGTTTGGAAATTGTATACTCTGTTTCTGTTTTGTTAGGGGTAACTTGAGTAACTAAATCATGCATTGCTAACAAGATCTAACAATAAAAATATTTAATTTCCTTCTATGTAGCAACAAAACTTTATGACCCTTACTCTGCTCAGGTTCTCCCAATTTATGTGTTATTGGTGTCTGGTGTTTATCATTGTTAATATTTTCAATGGGAAAAGTGATTTAAATAATCTACCCTGTGGAAAGCTTGGAATTGTTTATTTATTTAAAACCCTAAACCTGTGTTCAGCTCTAGATTGAGGATCTGCCTTATTTCACCTCTCCAGCACTGAGGAAAGTGACTTTTTGTTTTAAAGTTGCTTTAGTACATCAAAGCTCTGCTTATGCTTACCCTTATGTGTTGACTTAATGTCCTTGAGTATTCTTTGCTATCCATGTGGTGTTTATGGTGGAAGTATATAACAAAGAATACGCAGGGGTCAGATACTCACATAGTTCAACACCATTGTTCCGTGTTTACTGTCACAGCTAAAACATCCTCTTGAATGAGGATGAGAGCGTCTAGTGCCAGAGAGATTCTGGGCCGAGAGATTCTAGTGCCATCGCCTGTGGGTGAGTTAGGGGAGATAGCTTTGGCTTTCTATTTGTCCTGCACACCCTGCTCCCCTGCAAATATAGTTCCTACCTTGTAAAGCAGACTAGATAAACTTTGGGACTGGATCTAGTGAAAATTTCAAGACATCATCTTGCATTTGCATTGGAAACTTTTCTAAAATCTCTGAGTAGCATAAGATGTGTTGCATACCTTTTTAAATAGTTCCCATTATAATTGATAAATGAATCTGTGTGTACAAAATTGTGGGCAGTATTAATTTCCTAGGCTTTTGTAACAAATTCCCACCAATTATGTGGCTTACAGTAATAGGAGTTTATTCTCCTACAGTTTTGGAGGCGAGATGTCTAAAATCAAGGTATCAGTTTGGGCTGTGCAGTCTCTGAAGTCACTAGGGGGAGAATTCTTGCCTTCCATGTCTCCTGGCCACTCCTTAGCTTGCAGCTACATCTGTCTTCACAAAGCTGTTCTCCCCCTCTATCTCTCTCCATCCCTCTGTTCTTCATCCCTCCCTTCTTTCCTTTTTCCCTCCCTATGTTTCTGCATCTTCACATGGTATTTTCCTCTCTATATCCAAATTTCATTACTGGTTAGGGCCTGCCCTAAGCTCGACCTCATCTTAATTTGATTATACCTGCAAATACCCTATTTTCAAAGTCACACTGACAAGTACCATGTAGTGGCTGAAGCATCACTACATCTTTCAGGGGGACACAGTCCAATCCATATCATGGGGCACAAAATGTGATTAGAATACTCTTGAGAATAGTATTATTTCCTTGGTATAACTAGTTTAATGGTTGGGTACACTTAATTCTTCCACATTGTACTGTAAAAGTAAGCCATTCCCTAGCTCTCTGTCCTATAAACACCTTGTAACCATTTCAGATGGCTTTTGATTGGCCCCATGAGATTTAGATGCTGAAGAAACTGCAAATCAATATCTATAGTCTTCACTCAGTGGCACTAGGGAGGAAGAGCCATCTGGTTGACCTCATCTTTCAAATATAAAGCAGATATCCAGAGAATAGCTGGCTTGTGCTGGGGTGGCCTGTGCCCTCTGCTCTTTCATCATCATACTAGCCTGCATCTGTGGGTACTGGCAAACTTCGACAAACCATCTCAAAAACTTTTTGCCTCTGATGGACCAACAGTGACAGAGAAGGAAGAGTAAAGCCTCAGGAAAGCCGCAACCATGAGGCATATGACATAGGTCAACCTCAACCCTTTATAATCACATCCTTGGAAAAGCTTATAAAGTGATCAAATATATGTCCAGTGGAATAATCTGATCTTTGTGATTATGGCTGGGAATTCCCCAAGTACTAATGAAGGATCACGGCTGTCACTGAGATTCCTTATGTCCTATGTTGCCATATGAACTCTGCTATCCTTCAAGACCTGTGATGTGTCTTTGGCCTGAATATACTCTCCTAACGTTACTCCATTCACTGCATTAATTCACTTTGTCTTTTGGGGCTTGTTATGGTTATGCTTTATGCAGTCATGGGAGGCAGGCTTTTCAGAGGTGGCTAAGTCTAGGGTTTGTGATAGATTCAGTGCAATGCCAGGATTAAGGGTGCTGGGATTAAGGGTGGGCGACTGATGGGTCAGTCCACTGATTGGATTGGCACTGCAATCCAGTCCCTGCAGTCTGGATAAAAGAGGCAGAAAGAGGCTTCTCTGTTCCTCTCTCTCCTTTCTTGTTGCTTTTGCGGTCTTCTGCCATCATGAACTGTTGCCCCTCTTCCCTGTGCCACCCTGCCTTGGAACCAGCTGATTATAGACTGAAACCTCTACAAACTGTGAGGTAAATAAGCCTTTCTGCCTTTAATGTTGGGTGTTGGGTATTTTGCCTCAGCAACAAGAAAAATAACTAAGATAGGGCTTAACTCTTATGTTACATTTTGTTTTTGGTGCAGTCCTTGCCATGTATGTTCCTAACAACATTTGTAGAATGAATGAAAAACACTGCTGTCCATACCTTTTATCTACTGGATTATCTTTCTCAAAATACTCCTTTTCTTTTTATTATACTAATTATGGAGTTCTGGCTCCAGGGGAATATGAAAACCCTTCTCCTTAAAGTCTGATTATGAGATGTAAAAAAGACCTGGAATTTATCCAAAGGCTACCTTGTTAGACTCATATGAGAAAGATCTGACAGATCTCATGGAGTGTTTTCACTACCTAGACGGAGCAGGGTGCCACCAAGTTCTACAACATGAGATTTGAGGGCAAGGCATCCACTTTGTCTCCCACTCCTACCAATATTACAACTGGGGAAACAAGTTTATGGGGAGCTTGACTGTGGCCAGCCAGGCAATCAGTGGAAGAATTAAGATTAGAACCAGCCTGTCTAGCTCTTAAAACAGTGTTTCCTCCTTCTCTACCCAGCCTCAAATTCAAACTGCAAAATATCAGGAAACTGAAATTGAGGGAAGAGTGATTCTGTGGAACATGTGAGTATCATACAAGTAAGAAAAAAAAATAAAATGATGCTTTAAGATTTAACATTGGTCTTGAAATACCTTTAAAAATATTAACTTTAATGGATATCTCCAAGGTGCTGTATGACAGAGGACAGATGTTACCTTGGGCTGGAGAAGTTGTCCAGCTGCTCTCAGCATGCAATCATGCAAAATCCTAAATAACATCACCTCTCTCTCTCTCTCTCTCTGCAGTATTTCAAACAATAACACCTTAGGCTTTCAGCAATGTTCTTGCCATATATCTTTGGAAGTTCTGGTCCTGAGAATTTTTCTTGGCAAATAAAATCTCTGGTCTCAATCAAAATAAAGGGACCAGTGGCATTCTCTGGAAAGTAAGAGAACTCGGCATTTGCTATTCAGATTCAGAAGGGAAGTCAAAGTGGACATATTCTTGGCTTCTGAATCCCATTTACATGAGGATCTTTTCAAAAGTGGGCACCAACTACATTATCTGCCCAGTTCTGACATTATGGCCAGTGGCATGCATTGATGAGCTTGTAGCTGGGTTCCACCTGTAGTGAGAAACAGTTACCACAGCAGAACTGGACACGGCAGAACTGGACACATCCATGCTGGCGTATCCTCACTGGGGTCCAGCGTCAGTAGCCTCCTTACTCATGGCTTCATCTTCATTTTGGATTGAGCTGGATGTGCTCATGTTGGCTCTATCATTAAGGCCTCTAGTGACACTGTCATAGGATGGTGGGAAAGATGTGGCAGATGCAGTTTGAGATTTATCTGGGAGCACATAATTTTCATTTGCCATGAATGTAACAAAACCTTCATTTGGGAGTGACTCAACCTCCTCCTCAGCCCTGGGCACACCAGAGGAGTTGGAGAGTGCCGAGGAGCGATGCTGCATATAACTCCGGTAGGCCTTTTGAATGACAGTGGCTGAAATGTCTTCTTGCTTCCACCGGAGGGTGGTTGCTATTGGCTCATAGGAGGCCTTTGAAAGACTAGTTGCCATAAACTTCTCTTCCATATTTGCCTTCAGAGTGTCCAACTCACCAGATTCTCCCAGCACTTTCTTGGTGAAAGCAAAAAGGATGTCCAGACAGTGGATCTTATCTCCGGGGACCAAGGGCAGGTCCATCTGGATTAATATAGTCTGATTTGGTTTTGGGATTCGCAGAGGGCCAGAGAGCGTGTCTGCAAAGTCTGAGAGAGCAGAGAAGGTAATGAACTGGGTGGCCTCTGGATCAAACTTCTCCCAAGTCTCATAGAACATGTCAAAATCATCCTCACTCAGGGGCTCAGTGCTCTCCTCTGTGGCTACATTGAAATTCTCCAGAATCACTGCAATGTACATGTTGACCACAATGAGGAAGGAGATGATGATGTAGGTGGTGAAGAAGAAGATGCCCACGGCTGGGCTCCCACAGTCTCCTCTTGTGCTATTGCAGTAGGGTGGCCCCGTGTTGAGGATGGGGCTGAGGAGGGCATCCCAGCCAGCCGATGTGGTGATCTGGAAGAGGCACAGCATGCTGTTGGCAAAGGTCTTGAAGTTGAACATGTCGTCGATGCCAGCTTCCTCCTTCACATGGGGAAAGCTGGCCATGCCAAAGATGGAGTAGATGAACATGACGAGGAAGAGCAGCAGCCCAATGTTGAAGAGGGCGGGCAGGGACATCATGAGGGCAAAGAGCAGCGTGCGGATCCCCTTGGCTGCGCGGATCAGTCGGAGGATGCGGCCGATTCGGGCCAGGCGGATGACTCGGAAGAGGGTCGGGGAGAAGTAACTTTCAACTGATTTAAGAATTGCAGAAAATATCAAACCTTTGAAAGAAGGGAGAAATTACCTAATTAGTATCTCCAATCATAGTCTGCAGCAAGCTGTGGCTGTGCATGTGCCTTTATTCTGTTGGTGTGGATTTCCACTTGGGCATCCATCATCAAGGACTCCGAGCCCTATGATCCTGGCCTGGTGGTTATTACATGGTATCACTCAGCAAATGTCAGTTGCATTAATCTTTCTTCTCAAGTTAGTCTCACCCTTCCCACCATGTTCTTATCTTTCCCTCTGTCTTCTTATTACCTAATCTTCATGGCCAACACCCTTTTACATCTAGTTCAGCTGGGTTCCACATGCTCACAATACTTTATGTCCAATACGACACAGATCCTGATCCTTCCTGAGACTGTAGCCTTTGGTCATGCCCATTCTTCCTTCTTGGTCTTGTGTGCTGGGAAGGCCAGGAACCCCTGTGATGCATCTTCCTATCTCCTGCCATGAAGACTGACTCAGATCCAGGCATATGGTCTCATAGATAATTACATGGAGCTTGGTATCAATTATAAGGAGGCTTAGAAGTTGGGCAACTTGCTGACAGCTAAAGCAGAATGGCTTTGAGTGGCCAGCTGTCAGCATAATGGCTTTAATTTGTTTCTTTTATTTCCAGCTGTGTTTTAATTCTATATTACCACCCAGAGATGGACTGTTTTAGGGTCAGTTACTACCCTCAGCCCTAACTCTGTAAAAGGTTATAAAGATGAAGAAGGTAGTAGATGTAGTAGTATCTAGAATGTGATAGATGTAGTAGTATCAAGCTCTCACTCTTTGGCCCTGTTCCCCTATTTGCTCCTGGCCATATGCATATGGGCATGTGTCTTACGCATATGTCATATGCTGCATTGTTGTGTTGGAAGAAGGAAGGGAATGGGAGGGCCTTGGAAATTATTATAATTTTGGATTATAACATATTTGTGAGAACTCTTAAGGTCCAGTTTAACTGCAACATTTTCCCATAATATGTATACATTATGTGTCTATATACTACTAAAATTTTCTGCCAGACAACTGGCTTACATCTTAATTTTAGTTTTCTCAAGACACAATTTCAGGGGAGAATTAAGTTCTCATATTTGTGACTTCAAAAAGTCCTTTAGAGTCTCTCATTTTGGGAAGCTATCCAAACAAAACAAAAGAAGCAACCAACCAATAACCAAAACTCCCACTGTGCTAAGGGAAATAAGCCTAAGATGATAGATCAGGTGTCCTTAGCAATCAGTAACTATCTAATAAAACAGGGTGGTAAGAAAGCTTGTGGAAGTGATAGATATGTGTATGGCACTATTATGGTGATGGTTTAATGGGTGTATGGTTATATCCCCAAATATCCAGGTGTATACGTTAAATATACACAACTTCAGGGCTGGGGATTTAGCTCAGCTGCACAGCACCTGCCTGGCAAGTGCAAGGTCATGAGTTCGGTTCCTGGTACCGGAAACACCCCACCAAAAAAAAAATATACACAACTTTGTATAGGAGAGTTTTACCTCAGTAAAGTGGTTCTTTAAAAAAACACAGTAGCAATAGCAAAATGTACCAAAACTAAAACAAATTTCAACCTTGCAAACAAATAAACAAAACCCAAGGCTATGTTTCAGCACTAGAGTGGGAAGATAGATTAAATGTTGCCAAGTAGCACTTGGATGCTGTTACTTCTTGATAGTATATCAATGGAAAATTAAATATGCACTTATACCCTGATACAAAAAGTAAAGGGGTCAGGATACATTGGATCAAGATACATTTATAATGTAAAACAAAGCTGGTGATTTGAGATTCAGCCTTCATAGGGCCAACTTCAGCTAAATCCCAGGAAGTCCAGGGATGGGCTCATATTTTTGGAAAGGCAACTAGTTCAGTAGAAGAACTTAGTGTGGTTTAAAATCAGCCCTGCCCCTGAGAAACTGTGTGACCTTGCATAATCTTCATAATCTCTGAGACTCAACCCTAAATGTATAAAATTGTGCACCGTAACACCTCTTTCACAGGGCTGCTGTGAAGGTTCACGGATCCCAGCCCAGTGCTCAGAACTGAGTCAGTCCTCAGTTATAATGGTTCTGAACATCATTTCACCCCAAACACTAGATCTTTCATTCAACAAGGCCCTGAGTGGGACTTCATAGCATCACTCTCTTACCATTAATCCCCTTGACTTTTTTTTTAATCACCCATTCATATTTCCTAAGAGGAAATTTACAAGAGATTTAATCCCAGACCCTAAATGTAAGAATCTCCTTTGAAGGATCTACTCCCAGACTTTCCTCACTCTGTTGGCAACTCATCTTCTATCCCAGAAGGTATTTTGTGAGTCACTTCACATAACACTACCCTCTCCCTCCTTGAAAGCCATACCGCTAAGGGCCATTGGAAATGCTATGATCTGTAGTTGTCAGTTCTTAAGAGGAGTAACCGCTCCCCATCTGCCTCCAAGGTTCTAGTAATGGGCTGTCACTTAGCAGGTGACTGAAAACACTTCCCAGAAGCATGGAGAAGACCAGTGGGACCTCTTCACTTAACCAAGAGAGCAAATCAGAGGCATGTTAAGTCTGCTGCTCTTGGAAGGCTGTGCATATTGAGCTTTTCTAACATACAAAAGTATTTTTAAAAGCATGTTGTTTGTCCCTTGGTGTTAAAAAAGCAGCCCAGACAACTTCAGGCAGAGGCCGGGCTTCCCTACCGCATGGCTGCACTTACTCCCGATGGAGAGGAGCACCACAATGAAGTCGAACACGTTCCAGCCATTGGTGAAGTAGTAATGCCTTAGGGCGAACATCTTCATAACACACTCGCCAGTGAAGACAGCCACGAAGAACTGGTTGATTTTGCCTAGAATTTTTGTCTTTTCTTCATTCTGGTCATCCGTCTCCACCATCATGGTGATCATGTTGAGGCAAATGAGGACCATGATGCTGATGTCAAAAGCTTGCCGGGTCACAATGTCAAAGACAAAGCCCTGGTACTTGTTCTGAGAAAATGAGAGGTGGTAGAATCAGGGCCTTTGGGGCAACATAAAAAAGAAAAAAACACCTGGAAGGCTGAGTTCTCCATACATAAGTTTTAAAAGTCTTTCTCTCTTGTCTCCCTCACATCCAGACAGAAGCCACATCCTGTTTTTAGCCCTTCCAAAATCCCACTTTTACGGGATTACTTCATTGTCCTAGTTCTGGTCCTCACTACCTCTCTCAGTCCCTTGGAATCACCAAGTACTTCCTTTGTCTTGGCCCATGAGCTTTCCATTTGCTGTGCTCCTTTGGTAACCATCCTACATCATCTAAATTCTGATAGCCTTGAGAGATCCACCTCTCCTAAGCCTTACTCCATCCAGGGAGTTTCCCTCAATCGCGTTACACCACGTTGCTCTGCTGCTCTGGCTCCCACAGCCTTCACGGTCCATTTGGCCCATGCTGGGTTCTAGCATTTTATGTGTGCTCGTCTTCTCTACTGGACAGTGAATGCTTTGAGGGTGAGGGCATGTTTACTCACCTCTGTGCTCCTGTAGTACTCTGCACATAGCCAGAGTTCAAGAACTGCTTGTAAAATTATTGATTTGAATTACTTTGCTGAGTATAAAGTTAAGTGCAGTGCTACAACTTTGCTCCTCTGTGTTTTATAAAATCCCTTCCCCGCTTAAAGCTTGTGTCCTCTCAGTGGTGCATGGTCACCTCCTCATTAGTGCCACTTACCAGCCTCCTGGTCCCTCTGTTTCATTCCTGATGAATAGCCCACTGTGGGCTATTATCCTACACATCTTTAGTGTCCACGTGAATGACTCATCTCTAAGTTCTTTAGGGAAATCTCTAGTGACATGGCTTTTCCTAAATTAAAGCATAATCTTCCTGAGCCTTGCATCTCCTTCCAGCTACCACTCTGGGTCTCTTCGCTTTTGCGGCTAAATTTTTTGCTAGAGTTACTCATGTACAATCACTATCTCCCATTCACTCCTCAAGCCTTGGCCATGGGCTTGTAATCTCTGTGAGGACATGAACTTTGTTCATTTTACTCACTCTTCAATGCTTAGTGTCTGTCATAAAATAGGTGCTCAGTAAATTGGTAAATAAATGGAGATAGAAAGGGCAGCTCTGAATTAACTACACTTCAAAATTCCAAAGCCACCCTACCAGATTTGATTACACTTAATTCTACACAATAGGCAGGTACTGAATGCATACTGTATGCAGGGTTCTAAGTGGTCATGAGGAGAAAAACCTGTTGTAGTCCCCTGGGGGAGCTTCTGGGAGCTGCTCAGCAGGAGGATGGGGAAGTGCTGCGATGAAGCTGATCCCTGCCTTCTGCTCATGCTGGGGGTGGGTTGCTGGCCTGCTGCATTAAAGCAGAGAATCAGACCCAAGTGGGCCTGGCTCCATGCATGGCTTTCCCTAGGTGGGAGGAGCTTTGCTGAGCCACTAATCCCTTCTATTTCATCACTGAAAATGGTGAAAAAAAAAAAAAGAGCCCATTCATACTCACATGACATAATTTAACAGAGCAGGCAATGGCATCAGTGAGCATCTGGGCATCAGGTTTGCCCTGCGTGCTCTGACTTTAGGAAGTGGAGCAGCTTTTTGGGAAGGAAACATATTTTTGTAACCCTCGCTGCTCTTAGAGATGATGAAGTGGGTGATTGATGAGGTGATATTCTAGAGCCCATTATTTTCCTATAAAGTGGAATATGTAAAACCTGCTTTTAGTGATTTCCAAAGCTAGGAATGTTATAGGAAAAAATCTTCTAGTTTGGTGGCACCCTTACCCTTGGCTATGGATGAGCATTTAGAATTTGGGCTTTGCCAGAGATGAGAGGAGTAGGGTGTGTGCGCATGTGCTGCGGTGCCAATGTGCTACCGCCCAGGAGTTTGATGCTTTTACCTTCTGGCAGAGGACTGAGCAGAATTTAAGTGATGTCGTGTAACTTTGGGAGCTGCACTTAATAGAGGACTAAAAGGACCTGTTTCTTGAAATCTTTACTTTAAAAAAGGAACCAAAGTGGAGCCTGACTATAATTTTGGCCAATCTCTAAACTTCAGCAGAGTTCCTGTTGGCCACTAGACTGTGACCATGAGTGTAACTTGGATCCCAGAGAAGTGGGCTTTGGTCTTTTTCTCTCTAGTCTACGTGGAGGCATGAGACAGAAAGCGGGGCTAGTCTGGAAGTCTGTGGTAACCTAGATTGTAATGCATAACCACACAAACATCTCATCGCTGCCCACCCAATATCATTGAACCTGATCAGCTCCCTAAATGGGCTTGAACCTAACATTTTCCGGGGCGGGGGGATCAGTATTTCCTCACACAGCTTTATTAGAAGCATCTCTAGGAGGTGTTTTCACTCTGGAAGATGAGAGTTGCTTCCTTTGGATTTCTCATTGCTTAGGCCTGGGAACCCCCATGATACTCATCTCCAAACTCAACCCAGATCTCCTCCTGCACAGACAGTGCTGGCCAGGCCTCCATCCAGCACAGGCATAGGCTGTCTGCACAAACATGCTTGCTATAGGGGAGCTCACCAGGGGCCGTGGGATGGGCTTCTGGGGCTTCTTGGAGCCCAGCTTCTTCATGGCATTGTAGTATTTCTTCTGCTCCTCTGTCATGAAGATGTCCTGGCCCCCTAAGTGCAGGAGAAGGCCATATGTTATTAAATACCAGAGCCCCGAGGGATACCCAGATCAAAGCGTCCTGTATGGGAAGGACCAGCTCTACCTCCTCTCCTCTGCAGAAGGCTGAGGATCAAGGAATACCTTGCCCAGGTGCCACAATCTATGACACAGTACTGGAAAAGAGCCTATGTTGTACTCCCTTCTTGGGCCTCTGAAGCAAAGCTGGATTCTGCTCTACAGGAACCTGGAGCTGCTGCCTGAACAGAGGGTGGGGAGGCCTTGGAGACAGGACTCATGGAGAAGATCCATACCAATTCAGATCTGAGCCTCAAACACAGCCTGCTCACTCCAGTCAAATTCAGTGGGTTTCTAGAGTCACAGGCCCTGCTGGAGTGCAAGGACTTTCCTCAGGGCCTCTGGAGCAAAGTCTCTGGCACACAAGTCTCAGGTCTTTCCGGACAGGAGCAGCCGAGGACAGTTAGTGCCTGTTCTTGGGTCCCTGGTCTTTCAGGACCTTTGGTTGTTTCACATGAGGCCTGCCAGTTGCACTGCCCTCTGCTGCTACTGTGCCATATATTACGCTATTAAAGATGTCTTCCTCCTTTGAGACGGAGTGTGTTAGGTTTCCATAGGACAGGAAGGATAAGAGTCACTGCTAGAGCAGAAACACCGAGCCCCACTTATCTTTTTTTTCTGTTGATTGAAGTTGTCAATTATGACCCCAACAAAGAGATTCAGTGTGAAGAAGCCACCAAAAATGATGAAGATGACGAAGTACATGTACATGTACACGTTGTCCTCCCACTTGGGCTGACTGTTGACCTGTGACAGACAAGGTGGGATTTGGGAGGGAAGGACGGAGGGAGGGAGCATGTCTTTGTTTACTTTTACCCTAAAATCAACTCTCAGTGCAGGTTCTTTATCCCAGGAAGTAGGATTGAGGGAGTGAGGGAGAATAAGCAGAAAGAGGGGAAAAGCAAAGGAAGGGGGCGCTGTTAAGCCGGCCATTGTGGTGGACAACAGGGGCACAATCCTGTTCGAGCCCTCTGAGGACTATGTAGACCACAGCTGAAAACCCTAGGGACAGGGAAGCTGTAATATTCACCTACAAACTTCCAGAACTTATCAGAGAGGGTTGCCCCTTATCAGAGAGTGTTGCCCCTAATCCCCTGTCCTCAGGGGACACTGCTGAGGAAGCTCCAAAGGCCTCAATGAAGTCCTCAGACAGAGACCCAGACATGCAGGCTAGGAGTGAACTCAGAGCTAGGCTGAGGGGACGTAGGGCAGGGCCTTAGCAGAGCCTGAAGTGGCAGGAAGGGGTGCTTTCCCACCAGCACCTTCCCAATCTGGCTTTCATTATACAGCCCCTGCTAGTCCTGGAAGTGGCCTCCCAGGCACTGGCCATTAGAGATGATCTGCTCCTCTTCTCAGTGGTGAGCAGAAGGCCTTGAGAAGCCCGAGAATGCCCCACAGAAGCCAGGTGGACACTGCTACAAGGTGTGAGGCTCTGGATGGATGCCTCTTCTGGCACCAAACCAGCTCCATTTCATTATAAATACAGACTGGGATGGGCAGGGGAAGGCTGTAGGCACCGAGGGCCAAGACTCACTTCTCGGGAATCGACGGCTGCATACATAATGTCCATCCAGCCTTTAAAGGTTGCCTGGAAACAAGGAGCAGAGGTCACTCAGTGTCTGCCCATCCATCAATCCTGGACCCTTCTCAGGCCATGTGGCCTGGTGAAAGAGCAGGGCTTTTGGCTAAGGCACCTTGAGGAGGAAAAGGCTCAGGCAGAAAGGAGAAAGAGTCCTCTGGGTGACCTGACCAATCTCCCATGGTGATTTAAATGAATCCACACATGGCTATTCCAGAAGAGAGTGGCACTAAAGACATGGGAACTTCCAGAATGTAGCATGGACTAGCTGTCTAGATGCTTGGCTATTGTGCCAACAACTTCAAGGCTGCTCTGTGCCCTGGGTGCAGGCCCCCATCTCAGGGCTGCCAGTTTTTCAACCACTTTCTCATCTCATGCGTATGATTTAAGAATGGGGTGTATCTTGGAAGATAGGGAAGTTGGGAGTAGAAAACCTCTACATTCTTGTCTTCAGTCTTAGCATTTTTTAGATCTTGAAACTGAATGTGCCCTTTAGTATAATGCAAGGCACAAAAGGAGTCTCAGGTGCTGCACCCCGAAGCCTGTTATAGCCCTTGCTGGGTTGTTTTGATTCAGGTACTTGTTTCCCTCACAGAGCCTCAGTGCCAGAGACTGTTCCCACTGTATCTCTCAGGACCGAGCACATGGCTGGCAAAACAGAGCTACTCAGGGATTATTTGTTGCTTGAATGTGTGAAGAACAGAGCTACTCAGGGATTATTTGTTGCTTGAATGTGTGAAGAAACTGTGGGATGCAGGAACTCATGGGTGAATGCATTACAGGTGTGTAAGTAATTTTATCAATACTTACATGAATGGAGGACTGAGTGAATGGGGTGAAGGCACAGAGAGATGAAGGAATAGCAAGTGTGAAAGAGTTTGATGGTCATTATCACCAACATTTTCTGTCGTTACAGCCAACTTAATTAGACCTAACTCATTGCCATCTAGGAGACGATATGAAGGAGAACATGGAGCATGTGGCTGTGCCATGTCTATTTTGTATGAGTGGTGTGTTCTAAGCCATACAATTCTCTGGCAGGCTCAGCCATTAGCCCCACCTTGTCTAATTGTGCCACTATAAGAGCACATGCATTAGTAACGTTGTCTAGCCTAGTGCTGTAGTCTGTGTGTAGTTGTGTGGTTTGCTTAGTGCTATCCCTGACAACATCTCTCTGCAGCATCTCCTGGAGAGGACCCCAGACTATTCACTTACTGACCATAAGAAGATAAATGATTGATCTCATGGTTGACTCACCACCTGAAGAAGTGCGAGGTAACCCATCATAACATTATCAAAGTTGACTTTCACATTGACCCAGAAGAGGTGGCCAGTATAGTTTTGATTCTCACATTCAGACATGTTATTCACAACTGTCCAATTCACAAGATCAAATCCTTTGTCGGTCTGCTCGATGCACCTCCAAAACTTCCCCGCAAAGAGGTTCACACCCATGATGCTGAAGATGAGCCAGAAGATGATGCAGACGAGGAGGACGTTCACGATGGATGGGATGGCGCCCACCAGGGCATCCACCACCACCTAGTGGGAGACAGAAAAGGACCTGAAGCCCCAGAGTGCCACTCCTCCCTGCTGGATCCTGCTTCATTTCATGCTCACTCCAGCTGTTTCAGGAACCAGTGGCCTTTGGCAGCAGAAAGGGAAGAATGTTAGCAATAATTCAGACTCAGAGACACTGGGCACCTGAAGATAGGGTTAGACCCTCTTCCCTACAACTCAAGCAGGACAGGTGTTAGTGTCTTTCCTCTGAATGGAGATAAGTGAGTTTACAAGCACACATGTTCACTTGGGGATGTGAGTGTGTGTATTGCCCTTGCACCCACAGACTTTTAGGCCCTTATTTTCTTCCCTTTAATTTCATATTTTACAAAATACAGTGTGAATAAAGTACACTTTGGTAAAGAATCAGTGAAATCTAAATGCATATTCATAGACATATTCATTTGTAAATCAGCAAGCAAGAACCTGAATACCAAATGAAATAAATTTCAAGCTGTTTTGATCTTTAGCTTCTAGTGTTTCGAAGGTACAAGTTAGTTGTAAAACTCCACTTCTGTTTTCAAAGCTATGATGACTGTTTTGAGCCAGCAGTGGAAGAAGGGCCAGGTGGAGGCTCTAGTGGATAAGAAGAGAGGTAGCTGGAAGGGAAAACTCCATAGGGTCACAGGTTGGGAGAGGAGGTGCTCAGTGAGTGTGGCAGAGGTGTTGATATGAAGACGTCACTACATTTGAATGGGGGATTAGAGAAAGGACGCATTTGTCATGGAAAGGTGGAGAACTTGGGATGGTTTGGGGATCTTGGCCATAAGATTGAGGCAGAGTTGGGAGACCGATCACAGGTGCTTTGGAGGCTTGAATTAGGATCATTTCATAAGGAGAGAGAGCTCTGAGTCCTGATGGGCATGCTATTTATGGGAAGCCTCAAGGGAAGGTTCTCACAAAGGGATGTGTAGGAGAACCAGGAGGGTTTGCATGCACATCACCAACAAAGCCAGAGCAGAAGGGAAGGCATATAGCTGACTCTGGGGAGGTAGGGCATGGAGCTTGGGGTCAGCGAGAAGGAGCAAATAATGGCTACCAAATGTTGCAGATCAGATGTCTTTTGAGAGGGGGCTTACCCTCATGCCTTCGAATCGAGACAGAGCCCTCAGGGGCCGCAGGGCACGGAGCGTTCGGAGGGCTTTGATGGATGTCATATCAGCATATTTCAGGATCTTCGCCAGGAGGGTTATCAGTGAGATCTGAGTGCAGGCAGAGAGCAAAAGTATCACCCCAGGGTCCGGAAAGACAGCTTGGTGGAAGGAGGCAGGAAGTCTTTTCCCAGCCTCCCGTCCCCTGCTCTAAGCAGTTCTCCTGGCTCCCATCTTATTCTGAATTACAGCAGAGGTCAGAAAGAATTCAGCCCCTTCTCTTCTAGGGAAAATTTTATTTGTCACTTACTTAAGCCTCTGGGAAAGAAAAACTCATTTTCCTACAGTGCCACCCTTGTTGATGTAGGTGGGGAAGTTTCTTTCCCCTCTAGTGGCACCAGATAGCCCCAACAACCTTGAAATCTTGACTTTCAGAGACTTGGAGAGACAATGTCTCCATGTACAGCCTATGCTGAAAGTCTATTTTGAGAGATATAAAGTTATTCTTAATTATATTTGCTCAGAAAAGTGGGCAGGAGAGAATCCTGTTCAGGGTGGGGTCTTGGTCCCTCCTGATTCTGATTTTGTGACCTGAACCCAAAGGATAATTTTGTCCTTTGTGAAATGAGGAAGTCAGACCACAGGAAGTCAGCCCACAGTCCTTGAAGCTCTGCAGTTCTCCATAAGAGTGGTCCTTGGGATCCTTCAGTAGCTGAGAGATAATGACTGAGTTCTGAGCCCCTGTTGGTCTGTTTTTATTTAAATGATGGCCCACAAACTGCAGAGGACACAAACTGACACAGAAAAGTGGTCACCTCCTCTAGGAACTTTGAAGGGGCTAGGGAGACACTTCATGTAGACTTGCACCTGATGAGGGTTGTGGCCAAATCTTGTGAGACCGCAGCTGCACCATGGACGGTGGGCTGAATTCAGGCTTAGCTTACTCTGGCAGTTAGGTGGGGATGTGTGCCAGGCTTTAGAAAGCACACAGTCCCCATCCTCTGAATGGGTGGTTAATTCAGAGGAAGAGCTGGAATGGGGCTTCATCCACACAAGGCTCAAGACACCAGCAAGTGTTGGTCGGCTGAGGGCCAGGATCTTTGGGGCCAGCTCCATGCTTATTCAGTCCTGCTCATTCTCCTGGAAAGGTTGCTTATGTGCCACATTTGCAGCTAGGGCGGACAGACCGGGGCTCCTCCAGCAAAGCCCACCACCCATGTGCAGCTCTACTCCCACTGCTCTGTCCACGGAACTCCAGACAGTCTCCAAGCCCCGACAGTGCATCCCTCCCACACATACCTTCCCACAAATCAGACTGTGATGCTGTCTCATTCTTCCAACCTTCTCTGGTACTCTATTGATCTCATAATGAGCTCTACATCCTTTAGCCCATACTCTATGGCTACAACCTTCACTTCTATAAATATTTCATCTATATGTTCTACCCAAACCAAATTATTCCCAGTTGTTCCCAGTCTTCTTGCACCTCTCTGCTCCTGCTCATTTCTGTGCCCCATATCTAATACCATCTCCTGTATGAAGCTTTCCCAGCCACCTCACCCCCTGAAAAAAGGTTTTAGTCTCTTTGTCCCCAAGACTCTGTCTCCAGCAGTGCCTACCACAGCCTCCCTTTCTATATTTATTTTCCTTGTGTATGTCTTGTTTACTGGAAGACTGAAGTGAAAAGTGGAGATGGGGGCATTTATTCTGTACTCTGTCTCACTACAGAGCCTCATAAGACAATATTATATTCAGTAGTTTTAAGCAAACATTTGATAAATTGAAGAAAAGTTACAAGTATGTTGGGATGGATGAAATAAACAAAAAGAAGTTAAAGAATGATAGAAGGCTGGGTTAGTTTTCAAAGATTGATAGGTTAGATAGATGAAGGATGGAAGAAAAGTAAAAGGGCAAAAGTATAGAAGCAGGGAATAGCAGATTGATGGAAGGAAGCAAAGGAGATAAATGGACAGGTGAGTGGAATAAAGGAAGGACAGGGGCATGGGTTAAGAAAGAATGGGAAGATGGAAATAAATGGTAGAGGGATGAATGAGTAGACATATGCTTTGATGAAAGCTATGTGGATGGGTGACTAGGTTAGATGACTGCATAATGATCACACCTTCATTCCATCCATCTTTCTGTTGAGACTTTCAAGCTCCTGTCCTTCCTCCTGTATGGCTCCCTCATCTGTCCAACTGTTCACTCTTCCCTCCTCCCGTATATCTATCTTTACTTCCCCTACCAGCCCTTCTCCATCAGTCCTTTCCTTTCAGCCATCCATTCCCATTCCTCTTTTCCTCTTTCCTTATGCCCGTTCATCTTAATACACACCAGACACACACACACACACACACACATACACACACACACCTTGAACTGTAACTTGTTCTGTGAGTGTTCTGCAAGACAAGTAAACATTTGTAATAAGTTTTAATTTGATAAAAGAGTGATGTCTTGAAATGTGATTAGTACATGACGCCGATTGTCACATAATCACAACTGGGCCAATGATCTCTCTCCCTGTCCCTGTCCCTGTCCCTGTCCCTCTCACTTCCTCTCCCTCTCCCTTCCTCTCCCTCTCCCTCCCTCTCCCTTTCCCTCCCTCTCTATCTTCCTCTCCCTCTCCCTCTCCTCCCTCTGCAGGATTGTTGGTGATCATCTCCCAAAAGCGAGAGGTTATGGAGGAGATCTTGTCTGCAGAGGAGGAAAAGTAGAAGAATCTCTCACTTCAAATGAGATTAGGGGAATGTGTGAAATGCGCGAAACAGTGCAAAATTTTGTAGAAAAGCACCACCCAAATAAAGCTGTAGCAGTAAGTGATGAATCTGTTTAATGATAATGCAATCTCACATTTCCATGAAATCCTCAAAAGGGGCCAAAGCAAGTGTCATTGGATAGGTTCCTTGTTAAAATTGCATGAAACAAAAAGAATCCACTGAGCCAAAAGATAGCAGTGATTCTGTTAGTGACAATGAAAGTCATCCTACACGGTAACCCTCTGTCATCTCGCTCACACTAGCTGTGAAGGTTTTCAAAGATAAGCGCAGGTCAACTTATTTTTATTTACATTTTGTATTTTCTTTATTATTTTGTATATGCACTGCAATAATTTTATATGAATATTTTTGGGTTGTGGAACAAATCATCTGAGTTTCCATTATTTCTTATGGGGAAATTTGCTTTGATATACAAGTGCTTTGGATTATAAGTGTGTTCCTAGAATGAACTATGCTTGCAAATAGAGGCCATATATATATATATGTATGAAATCAGGAGTGGGGAGCCAGAATAAAGCATCTTTCATCTATGAATAATTGCTTTACATGCATCAAATCTGTGACTCAGATTTCAGGGCTTCCAGCTAGTCCCTGTGGTACAGTGGCCTGTGCTGCTAGTGCACTGGCATCAGGAAAGCAGAGAACTGCACGCACAGACCTGCCACGGAGGTCTTGCCAGCACAGGAGGCTGGACAGAATGTTCTGTACTGGATCCCATCCAGCTTCAGGAGCAAACACCAAGTACAGACACATTTCCTGACACCTCTGATGTGCAGACCTTGGTGCTGGTGGCTGCCGGGAAAGCAGAGACACACGCCGCACATGCCTCGTGTGCTTGCAGGAGCCCTCAGTAAGCAGCAGTGAACAAATAACTCATGTTGCCACGTTCTAAAGCCAAGAGGGCGCTGCCCAAAGAGAGGCAGGGCAATGCAGCAGTGAGGCTGAGGGAGAAACGCTGAGGACTCGCAAGTCTAATGTGTGGGAGGCACATGGCGAATTCCTCAGTGCAGGGGCTATGACCACAAGTTACCGTGCAGCAGCACACTTCAGTGCCAGCTCCTCACCTCTCAGCTGGGTGCTTGTTAACCATAACAGCACCTTGGAAATGCCTAGGAGCTTTTATAAAATATTCATTCCTGGCCTCCACCCAAGACTGGAAGATCAGAATCTCTGGGATAGTGGTATTTGCTCAATGTATTTTTTAGAGCTCCCCTTGTGATTCTAAAGTGCAGCCAGGGCTGGAGACCCCAGAATCAGCATGTGGGCTGGTTCTCTACTCGTGGGCCACAGCTCCCCAAAGTCGAGATCCCTGGCGGGAGATGTAAGGTCATAAGACCCTGGACAGCCTCCGTCATCTTGCTTTGAATGTAAAAAATGTGGAGTATGCTAGTGGTTTTTCTGGATGGAGGTCCAAGAACTGAGGGCACTGCTGTGTTAGAATCATGTTCTGCTGGGAGCTCGCCACTCACCCATGTGCACAGTACTCTATACTCCTTACTGGGTACTCAGAGCTCTGAGCAGCCTGTGAGAACCATAGCCATTAGTTAGAGGTGAGGACCCCAGAGCTCCTCTGCCCACGAGCCACTCACATTCACAATGAGGAAGTCCAGCCAGCACCAGGCGTTGGTGAAGTACCTTTTGAAGCCATAGGCCACCCACTTGAGCAGCATCTCGAACACAAAGATAAAGGTGAACACCCTGTCCATGTACTCCAGCAATGCCTTCACTGTGGGCTTCTGGTCCAAGTAGCAGTCTTCAAAGGCCTGGAAGGAAGGGAGCAGAATGAGGCTGCTGGATCCATAACACAGGGCCCAGACAACGGGGCAGGACTAGCCTGCCCTCCTCTCCCTGGGTATTTTCTTTTTCTCCGTGCTAGGGTGGTGAGGTGGGTAGAGGAAGAGGCATGATGAGATACACAGAGACTTCCTCAGCCAGCAGGGACATGCAGTCCTGCTGATATTTTGCAGGATTGCTGAATGCAAGTGAGAAAGGAAACCTTGAATTGGATTTTGGAAATGAACCAAAGGGATGCTACCAGCGACCCACTTTAAAAATAAAAGCATCAAAGGCTGTTCGCAGGCAGTTCACAAAAAAATTAAAGTAAGAATCGCCAACAAACCTCTGAGGAAGAAAGTTTTATCTCACTGGTAATCAAGGAAATTCAAATTAGAAGAATACAGGGTTTTTCTTTTTTGTTTCCCAGACTGGTGAAGATGAAAACGAATGGTGAGGAGACCCCAGTGCTAGGGTGTCCATGGGGTGTTCACTCTCATAAGTGGCTGCTGGGAGGGAGGACTAGCTCAGTCTTTGGGAAGTGAAATGACACCAAGGCTTTAGAAAGCCAATGATTCTGCCTTCAAGGCCTCACCCTGAGGCCGCTGGGCACTGTTAGTGCCCCCATCCCTCAGCTGAGGCAACCAGTGATTTCCTCAGCTTCTTCACCGGGCTTGGGAAACGCTTTGCAGATAAGGTCCCTGCCCTCTTGGGGCAGCCCCGGCCAGTGACATGTGTGTTTACAAGGCCATCCATCCCTTTTGCCTCCGGGTGGGACAACTCTGTGGCACCTTTTGTGTTTCGTGGCTCCCTGTGGGATCTGCAGAAGCTGGATGTCATCTTCCCCAGGCTCCCTTCTCTCTCCTACCTGCTCCCTCACAGGCTTCACCACGGCTTATCCCCGTAAGTTGCTGGCACAGGAGACCTAGCTGTGGGATCTGCATCTCGGGCCAAGCTAGAATGCCCAGGGGTTCAGATCCCCACTGTAGCAAGTGCAAGGTGAGCGACACACATGACGTGGAAGCACAGGGGTGTTTGGATGAATGGTGGCTTGTTCCTAGAATGGCACATGTCACAGCCATGAAGTGAAACAGTATGAAACTATTTCCTGGGAATATTTACCGAAGAGAAATTACAGAATGCATAGAGGCGGTCTTATGTTTGTAATATTTGTATATTCTATGCATAAGAAAGATGGGAAGGAGGGAAACCACTATGTTTTCACAGTGAGCTTTTCTTTGAGGGATAAAAAAAAATGGGTGAGTTTTTCTTTTGCCCTTTTCTAGTTGATTTTTTTTTCATTTTGCATTTTACTTTGTCAGATGAAAATTCATTTTGTTTTTTAAAAGCACTCAAAGTGAAAGCATAAGACTAAATTTGGCCTAAGCCTGTGTGGTCCCATGGGGGAGGAGGTGAGGAGTGAAGGGAAGCTGATAGGGTGGGCGTCTGGGGTAGAGCAGCTGTCTCAGGATCTGAGCTCCCTCCAGGGAGCAAGAACGGGAAGGTGATGGCTGGGGGTGTGAAGAGAGATGGGTGGGAGAGTGAGAAGAGACACTAGGAGAGAGCCCATGAAGGCCTCTGGCCAGCAGCACCTGGGGTTATCCTTTGTATGTGTTTCCGGGCACGGGACTCAGGGTCTTTGCACTGAGCTACATCCCAGCCTTAACTTTTAGTTTTTATTTTGAGACAGGGTCTCCCTAATTGTTAAGTTGCCCAAGCTGATCTCCTACTTGCAATCCTCCTGCTTCAGCCTCTCAGAGAGCTGGGATTACAGTGTGTGCCACCATGCCTGGCCTGGGGTTATCGTGTTTATCCAGGAGTAGAGGAAAGAGAAAGGAAGGTGTGCAGAGAGCTCTGCCTCCTCTTCTCCTGCAGTACAGCTGCACCAGGGGCAGTCGGTGCCTTGTCCCATTGTGATGGTGCTGTTCCACGCGGCTCCCCGCCCCTGCACCAAGATGGCAGGCCAGCCCTGCCCGGAATCTCTTCCTGGCTTTGGGTCTCACTGTCCTTGCTCTCCTCCACCCCTCAGACTGTGCCTTGTCTCTCACCTGTGCTCTTCCCCATAGCTAAGGGCACATGCCAAACAGTGCTGGCACCTTTCCTGAGAAATCTGGCATGGAAGTGGTGCCCAGATATTCAGTAGGTCATTCTTAGCGAGTAAATGAAACAGGAGGAGCAAGGAGGAGTGAAGACACTTGGAGCTGTGAGTCAGGAAAGTGGGGCTCTAGTCCCAGCACTTGAACGAACTTGCAGGGACCCCGGGTGGTCCCTTTCATGTCTTTGTGCTTTGACCTCCTTGCCTGTAAAATATGGACAATCAGGGTTGCCAGGTCGCTTCTGGGGTCTCTGTGTGCCTTGTTCTACTGGGATTAGCACTTGAGTTTGCTTAGTGAGCCTGAGCTCCGGCACAGAGCCTTCCTTCTTTGTCCTACAGAGCCCAGCATTCAGCCAGGGGCTTAGTGAGCATCTCCAGACCCTGAGTTTCTATTCTCTGAGATCATTCTGCATGTGGTTCACGGACGGAAGCATTAGCCTCCACTGGGGGCATGTTGGGAATGCAGGTTCTCAGGCCCCACTACCAGTTTTCCAAATCAAAAGCTGCAGTGTGACAAATTCTCCAAGTGATTCCAGTTTGGGGATTGCTGCTGTGATAGTTTCTTGTGAGCACTGAAGAAGTAACAGCAGCACTTGCAAGTGGTTTGATAAGACGAAGTAAGATGACTAGACCTTCATAGAAGGCCTGTGCGTTCAAGAGCTCAGGGAGCGGAAAGCCAGGGGCTCTGGGATTGAAGTGAGGTTTGCTACTGCGAAGTTGAGTGGCCTTGAACAAGTCCCCTAGCCCATAGCGGGATGCATACACTTGCTGCTTGAATGCTTCCTGCCAGGTTGAGCAGACAGCGGCCTTGGCAGCTCCAATAGCTTCCATGCCCTGCCGTTAGGAGGCGCAATGGACAGCAGCTCTCCTTCCAGCTCTCAGCCAGGCCTCCACTGGGACTGTCCCATGGCACAGCTCCTGACTTTTGGTGGCAGAAAGTCCTACTTGGAGGGCTCTGTGCCAGTGCCCATTTCCCCTTACCAGAGACCCACTGCTGAGCAGAATCATGAAGATGATAAAGCTTTCAAACCAGCTGTGTTCCACGATGCGGTAGCAGGTCTTCCGCAACTGCCAGCCCATGGCCCACGGAAATGTGGTGATATCCACTTTGCAACAGGGACAGTGGCGAAGGCATCCTATGGAGAGAAGTGACCAAGGGTGAGTGATGTTCCATTGTCATCATTTCTGCTCCAGTCACCCAGAGAAACAACTCTGCTGAGAAATCCACTTGCTACCCCTTTGAAAAAGGATTCTTTCCTGGAATAGCAGAGGAGGGGCCCTTCCAGGGGACCTTCAATTCCGCCCATCAGGTTTCGTCTCCCTCATAGGTCTTGCCCATGCAGATATCCTCCCAGACCGCTCTTCTTAGAGATGGCACCAGCAGCCCCTGTCCTGATACTCACTCATACCTGGAAGTGGACAAGCCCTGAGGGTCTGGTGGTGTCTGAGGGGCTATGCTCTGAGTCCATGTGGATCTGATGGCCACAACACACCTGGTCCAGCCCAGCCCAGCCCTGCCCTGCCTCCAGGGTCAAGTGGAACTAGAAACTCAATGAACTGGTGTCTGCATCCTGCCATAATCCATGATCGCCTTCAGAGTGTTTGAAGGATTTGTTTATTCATTCATAGTACAAGTATTCATTGTAGACATAATGTGCCTTGGTGTTTTGAACATTCAGGGGAAAGGTGAATAAGATATAGACTCTGTCTTTAAGAAAAGACTGAGGGAAATAGCCACGTTGATACCTTCCTCTGGGTCTTTTATGTCCCAAATCATGAGTTCAAGGGGAGCTGGGTGTGGTGGTGCACACCTATAATCTCAGCACTCTGGTAAATCCAGCGTGGGCAACTGAGCAAGGCCCTGTCTCAAAATAAAAAAGGGCTGGGATGTAGCTCAGTGGGAAGGCCTTGGGTTCAATACCCAGTATTGGAGGGAGGAAGGGAGGAGAGGTTCAATGTGACATTTACTGCCCTTTTCCCCTTTCAACTTCAAGAGCTCAGGTCTATAACTCAGTGAGGTTCCTCCAGGGTAACTAGCAAGGCGTAGCATCTGTCTTCTGTGTCCACCTGACATGCCATCAGGTGCTATGAGTTGTGGAATTTGTGTCTGAGGCTGCCAGGGCCCTGTTTGTCTGCCTCCTATGAACCCCAGTCCAGGGCCCTGGCCATGAGAGGCCTAGTGAAATGATGGACCAAACTCTGGCCCTAGTTAACCAGCCTGAGGAGACCCAAGGCTGCCATTTACCTTCTGTGAAGCAGTCATCAGGTTCTTCCAGGTCATCCGCCAGCTCTGGGATCTTCCTCAGGATCTCCTCAGGATCGGGGCAGTCCACCGTGCTGCCCTCAGAGGAGCTCGTGTCATCCACTCCCTGCAGAACAGAGGCCCAGGTTGATGAACCAGCTTTCTGAGGTGCCTGAGACCCACACATGGTCCCTGCAGGTCCAACTGGCTACGATCCCAAGGCAGAGGATAAGCCCTACAGGGCCCTGGTCCCATGCTGGGGCTGCCCTGGCCTCCTCCAGAGCTCGGGCCTGAGCACTGATACTTCCCATGGAGCCCCTAGGCCTAGCTGAGTGAAGCCGCAAACCTCTAGGCCCTGACTGAGTGCTGGCAGTGGCCAGTGGCCGAGACACTATAATTACACCCATAAAGACTCTCAGCTTTCACTCGCCTTGAATATTTAATCAGGGAGCAAAGCTGCAGGGGCCTTGCTGCCCTCCTGGCAGCTGGAGCCCTATAATGTCTCCAGATGAATTCAATTAGGAGCTGAAGCTGCTCTTAGGTTAGTAAACTTGATAGCTTGGCTAATGGACCCAAATGGTAGGGTGGGTCCCCATCTGTCGCTGTCAGCCCCTCCCTGCCTGGCCTGGTCATGCACGAGAAATAAAAACAAAACCAACACCCAGAAGTTGTACCCTGAAAATGAAACCAGCCTGGAGAGTCCTCAGAATACTCAGAAATGGACACACTGTCCACGCACAGAGTGTAATGATCACCCACCGGGACCCCGCAGCTTGTGTTTGTCCATAGCGCCACCCTTCCTCCGCCTCGTCCCTTTTCAGCCCCTCTGTTCTCTTGCCCTGCTGTAGTCAGCCTTGCCTGGGCTGTGCGGCCAGAGGCCAGCATTCCTCATGCTGAAGGGCCACTGGGAGGCTGTTTTCTGCCTTATCTTTTCCCAGCCCTGTGCCAGCCACACAGTCCCCACTTCAGGGGCAAGGTGTCCAATTAAAGTCTTGAATGATTACAGTGGTAGTAATGATGCAGAACCTTTACCCTTCCCCTATAGATTTTTTTTCCAACACTTGCAATTGACACCATGGTTTATTTTTACCTTCAAAGGACGTCTCTAACCCCGAGTCCTCCCACCCAGTCTGTGAAGTGTCAGCTCCCTTCTCCCTGCGAGCCCCTCCCTCCTCCCTGCGAGCCCCTGCCTGCTTTGGGCCAAAGACAATGATGCAGACAAAAGAAAGTGGGGGTGTGTCATGGGGAAGATTTCCTCACCCCTGAGTGCCTCCAAGTCTATCTGCTGCCTCTGAAAGATATTTGACTTTTTTTGTGCACTCTTTTGTTTCCTTTTTCCTTGGCTGTCACTTTCTGGGCACTTATTCCTTTTCAGGCAGGAGCTAAACACCTGACAAGCGGCATCTCATTTAAGCCTCAAAATAATCCTGCCAAGGAGGCATCATTGTGCAATTTCACAGATGAAGGCATGGAAGCTCAGGGGGCCAGGAACTGGCCCGAGGAGAGCTCATCCTTTCTTCCCATCCCTACCCAGCCAGGGGTGAGGTCCTGGCCATGGTGGTAAAAGCTGAAATGTCTTGATCAGCCAGGGGCTGGGAGGGTGTTGAGTGTTCCCAGGATGAGGAAGAGGTTACTTGGTTGGTGAGGTCTGGAACCCCCCGGCCCATCTCCACCCTCCAGTGCTCCCAGCCCTCAGGCAGTGTCTGGCTGGCTGGTGCCGCTCCCCAGGAAGTTCACATACCTACCTCTGTGGGAACTGGGGGAGGACCCTGGTCACCTTTCCACTTCTCACCCAGGAATGGAGCCAGGTCCTCAGAGGATGTCCCAGAGTTTGGGCTCCTGGGTGTCAGGTGGTCCTCACACCTCCCAGCTTGCTGCAGTTGCTCCTGCTAATGACAGCAGGTCCCACATGGCACCTGAGTCAGTTACTGCTGGTCACATTGCAGGCTGTCAGAGCTAGGACTTCAGACATGCAAGTAACACACACACATAAGCACACTCATGTGAAGTGACCAGAAAGACTGACTGTAGAGTCAGATCTATATTTAACTTGTGGCTCCATTCCTTAGAAGCTATGTGACCTTGGGACAAGTTATTTTCTGTTTCTGATCTTTTTTCCCTACCTACAAAATTTCAAAGGCAAGCTCTACCTCAGCAATTTTGATGACTAAATATGTTAATACTTACACTCTGCAGGAAGAGCTCAGCTCAATATACGTTAGCCTCCACCATTATTATTTGTTCAGAAGTCAGACTGGTAGGGAACTTGGGCATTTGTCTCCCCGAAAGAACCCAAAAGTAAGCAAAAATGCTTCTGAGAGGCAGACAGCCATCACAGAACTCATGTCCTTTACTCTAAGGATAGTGACATCCTGTCCTCGGCAGTCACCCAAAGGCATGTAAAAAATGGCAGCTGATAACAGCAGCTACTGGAATGCAAGAGAGGTGACATAGAGGAAGGAGGCTATGGAAGAGCTGCAGAATCAAAGTACAGCTGAGGCCACTGAGAGGCCTGGCCAGCAGCCCCATGTTGGGAGGAACCCTGGGATCCCTGCTCTTCCAGCTGGTGCAGAAGTGCACACTTGTCATGGAGGAGGGTTAGTGAGAGCTGAGACACTGGCTTACAGTAGAAAGGAACTGGGAAAAGTATTTAAAAAATACATAACATCAAAAGTTTTAAATGTGCTTTAAAGCTCTTTGAAAGAAGTGTCACTTTCCCAAGATGTTACTTGTCAATAGATGAGTCATGTAAAATCAGGACTTCTTTGATTGCTGCTGGAGAATAGATAAGCCTGCTTTTGGACAACATCCATTTATTGGAGGAATATCATTAGCATCTCATGTGCAGGGTACGGGCTGAGTTGAGTGAAGGGGACAGCTCTGTGAAGGACAAGGTCCTAGCACCTCAGGGTGGCAGGGACTCACCTGCTGCCCCTGCTCCCTGTTTGCCTGTCTCAGGAATTGTGATCTGTTTTTTACCAGGCCCTGCAGAGAAGCCAGCTCCTCTGGGGCACTTGGCACATTTCAGCTCCTGTATGGCAAAGTCTCCTATGCCTGGTTTGCCGGAGACTCTTTAGCGCTGCACCAATCCCACTGCTGGAAAACCTCTCTCCCACAATTTCCTTTCCCCTCTGAGTTCCTGTCACCCTGGAGCCTTCCTACTTCTTGTGGCTGCCCTCTGGGGGTGCACTCTCACCTGTCCTTCTGGGGTCACTTGCTGCTCCTGTTCTCCATCACCCTCTGAGTCATCCAGATCAGATTCACCCTCCGCAATGGGCACTGAGACCCATAAGTTAGGATTGGTGATAAAGTCACTGTGCTCATCTCTGGGCCCACTGAGAGGGGGCAGTGCTCTGGAGCTCGCTGAGGCAGCCTCCAAAGCAATGTGGTTCTCGGCTTTGGAGCTGGATAATGGGGGTTTTGCTGCCAGCTGCGACTCCACCTTGGGCCTGGCAAGCAGGCAGGGCCTGCGGAAGAAGCTGCAAAGGGCCTGCCTGGCTTGGTGGCCAAACACCTGGAGGCGAGCCAGGGCCACCTGCAGGTTGTTCACCTCCCCGTCATCCTCAGATGGTGTGAGGTTGTCAGCACTGAAGGAGTTCAGCAGCAGGGCGATGAACAGGTTGAGCACCTGGAGAGAAGGTAGAGAATGCAAGATGGATGAATCAGCCCCTCCCTGGCCACCTGGCAGGCAGCTGGATGGCAGGACAGTCACAGGTCACAGCCTGGGCCTCCTGCACGCACTGGTACCCTGCCTCTGGGAGAATGGACATTCTGAGAGCAGTGAGGGGGCTCGTGGGGTGTCCCAAGGTAACCTGCCAAGGGGAATGAGGCTTGGAAGCACATTCCCCACCACAGAAGTTCACCCTGTGACAAAGGGACATTCGAGGACAATAGAGAGGAGCAGGCCACCCTCATTTCCAAAGCCCTGGGTTTCAGTCCTCACTCTGCAATCCTGGGCACATCTCTTCACGGCTTCTAACTTCATGCTTTTCCTCTGTAAGCAGGGAGCGGGGGTCTCCCTACCCGTCAGAGAGGGTGTGAAGATGAGATGACACGCAGGGTGTACAAGTTCTTAGAGAGGCAGACTTCTTGCCTAAGGGCCAGGGCACTTGTGTCTCTGCAGGGAAGGAGTTGGGCCTGGGAGGATGGAGCTTCGGGCAGCCCTGACTCGAGGATGCAGACAGAAGTTATATCTCTGGCTCAGGACCAGGTGGGAAAGATTTAAAAGGCCTCAGTGTGCTCTTACATCACCTTCTCTTAGCTGAATTTCTCCTGTCTATAACATTTTTACACAAAATAAATCCAAATTAAGCCAGGCATGAAGGAACACGGACTCTGGGAGGCTGAGGCAGGAAGACTGCAAGTTTGAGCTCAGTTTAGGCAACTTAGTAAGATCCTGTTTATAAATAATAAAAGGCCTGAGATGTAGCTTAGTGCAAAGGTCCCGGGTTCAAGTCTTGGTACCACCAAAAAAAAAATTCCAAATTGGTTGATTTCCTAGGCATTAATAAGGGAGCTCTTAGAAAGACCACGTATGTTCCCAGAGTCAGGCAATGCTGGATGTCTACACCTAGATAAGCAGCGGGAGGGGAGAGTTAGGGCCAGTTGCTAACGGGCAGGAAGGGCTCAGAGGGGCCCACCCAAACCTGAAATGTATGAGCAGCTGGGCACTTCCCAGCATCTCTCTTTCATCTTCCCCTTCTGCTCCCAGCTGGGACCAGGAAGTCACTCAGGTCTTACTGTCTTACAAAAATATCTTCCGAGCACCCCACGTAGGGGAGATTTTCCTTCTGCGAGGAACAGCTCCCCTTTCCTAAGTTCTGACACTGCTCTGGGCAATCTGTGTGTGGCATCTTCAGAAGTTAAAATTCTCCCAGTGTGCCAATGCTTGATTTTAAGGAAATCAGGGCTTGGGGAGATTCAGTCCTTTGCCCTGGCTCACCCAGTTAGTGAATGGTGGAGAGGGGTTTTTCCTTCTCTGTCATGTGTGCTTATTTCTGCAAGTCGGGCTGGCTCCCCCGGCATGCTTCTTATCACGTGCCCTATGCCTCTGAAAAGTCTGAAGACTTCATCTGGCGGGGCAATGTGGGCATAAACATGTACACAGTCAAGGCTTCTTAGGGTGACTCGGAAGCCTCCTCCAACGTCCGAAAGACCCGTGGGACTCGTACTCACCACCAGGTTCCCCAGCACCATCACGGTCAGGAAAAGGATGAGGCATACGGGTTTCTCACTGACTTCCATGCAGGCCCACATGTTCTCAATCCACTCTCCACAGAGGATCCGGAAGACGATGAGGAAGGAGTGGTAGAAGTCATGCATGTGCCAGCGGGGCTGCTCGTCACCCGGCAATGTCAGCCTCTCCCGGTGGCTCCAGTAGGCCTCCCCAAGGAGCTGCTTGCCGACCAGAGCGAAGATGAAGACGATGATGGCCAGGATGATGGTCAGGTTCCCCAGAGCCCCCACCGAATTGCCGATGATCTTAATGAGTATGTTCAGGGTGGGCCAGGACTTGGCCAGTTTGAAGACCCGCAGCTGCGGAGGAGCAGAGACCTTGTCAGGCCCTGGACTCTTCTCCTCACCTTTCATCTAAAGCCTTGGCTGAAAATCAAAGTTCTGAGGAGAGCACAGGCAGCTCTTCCTGCAAAGACAGGTGCTCCCTGGACGCTGTGCTTTGAGCTTTCTTTCTTAGACTGCATACATATTGTCTACTAGTATATGCCTGCATTACATAATAAATACATTCTTGTGGGGAACTGGTACGTGCCCATCTCGGAACTTGATCCTTTTTATTTCCTCCTCCCTACTCACCCCTCCCATTTCTTCCCATCCCCAGATGCCCTTTCATCTCCACCAATTTTATCTCCCTGATTCCTCTCATTTAGCTTTTACTTTGCTCTTTAAATTATTTAAATTATTTATACATTGGATTTCTCAAAAATATGATGAGCCTTCTGTGGTCCCTAAGCATCAATGTGCCCCCGGAGCTGTGGCGGAGGAGGTCGTCGTTGTGTCATCTTCACTCTATTCTGTAGCCAAAGGCTGCCCCCGCCTGGGTGCAGACCTGAGCTGGGGTGATGTACCGGGGTAAGATGAGGGTCACAAATATGTGAGAACACCTTACTCTTGACCTGAAGACAGGCTAGCCTCCCTCAGGGGCAGCATAGCCCACTGTGTTGGGTAGCTACTAGCTAATCACATTTTAGGGCATTTCTTGCCTTGAGGCAGTTGACATTATCTGTCACCCCCTACTAGCTCTGCAGCACTTGTGATTTCCTGGACCCAGCCTCCAAATTCATAGGGTCCCTGAATTGCCCACTCAAGCTTCCTCCCTAATACATGCCAACTGTGCATGTCATGGCTCCGTGCTGGCCTTCCAGCACACGGGGAGAGGGAGAGGGCTCTTGCTCTCGTAGAATCAATGGTTTAGTCACTGAGATAAGAAGACTCCACAGACCTTCATTGTAAACCCAAATATGCTGAATTCCACAAGACACCAAAAGCACCTTGCATAAAGACATACAAAGATTTCATACCAATGCCTTATGGGGTTCATGAAGTCACTAGTGACACTGTCAGTGAGTGAGCGTGCATATCTGTAGAGCACACACTGAGAGCCAAGCTCAGGCTTTGGGGGAGGGTGCAGTGCTGGAAGAACAGTGCTGTAGCAGCTCTGTCCCCCACCCAGATCCCCAGGGAGTAGGATGAAGACCCTAACACAGTAAGTACCGTCTTCATGTCTCTTTGTGATGGGACAACTTACTCTTCTCACGCAGGAAGCAGAGCTTAAAGCACCAGGTCTGGTGTGGACTGACCAGAGGCAGCTATCAAGCAAATACAAACTGAGTGCTGGGCACCAGACAGAGCCCTTTTGTGGAAGGCGTTGGGCGAAATTTCCTAAATAACACAGTAGATCGAAGTCCCCATTCTCAGTCAGTTCTGGCCAAGTGCAAATGCAGAGGCCAGATGAGGGCCTCCCACTGGATAAGAGCAAGACACAGAGCCTTGGGCTGTCCATCTGGGACAGTGAGGGACACAGGGACACACCGACCAGCCATGAGCAAAAGCATCAGACAGTGATGCTTGTTCAGCTGCACTTGGCTGTGTTATTCCACAGGTCCCTTAGTTGTAGGGGGGCTAGAAATTAATATTAGAATCTCCTTAGAGAGAAACCCCTAATAAACTGTTGCTAAATGATGAGCAAATGTATATATTTTTCACTATAGGACATGAATTGAGTCATTGCTCATTAATGTTTTGTTGTCTTAATAAAGGACAACAAGAGGGATCTGTCTGTCTGTCTACTTGTTCTTCAGACACTAGCCCCTACTGTTAGCCAGTCAGTCAACACACATCTATGTGCCTGCTGCTAGGGTTATAGAGTCACACCACCCGGCTGGCTCTGGCTGGTGCCTACAGCCACTAGAGGAAGAGAGCAGTTCACCTGTGTCCATGTTCCCCCTACCTTCACCTCTGCCCACTGAATTATTCACCATAGTCTCTACCCAGCTTAGCATTATGCCAAAGGAATCTCTTCCTATTATCACATTATAACTTCTAATCAGGTTGGGGCTGTAGCTCAGTCATGGAGTGCTTATCTAGCATGCATGAGGCTTTGGGTTCAATCCCCAACACTGAAAAACAAAAACTAAGTTGGTAACTGTGGATATATTAAGATAGAAATTACTTGAAGCCAATTCCTTATCTTAAACTTTCCTATATTTTTCAATTTTCTTTAGTGAGGATGCTTTATTTCTAGAACAGAATGAAAAGTCAGCTTAACATCTGTCTTCTACTCGGGGTGTCACCACTGGGCGATGAAATTTGGCTTGCGCTGTTGAAAATGTCAGGGTGTAGGGTAATAGGACAGAGTACCTTGGGTCTCACTTAGGTCCCTCTTTTGATCAAATATCACAGAAAATGCTGGACAATAAAATTGTAAGTGTGTTGATGACTACCAGTGAAATAAACAACTTTTAGCCAAAATTTAAATCAATGTGAGAAATGTACTTTTCTTCCATCAAGTCCCAAAGGAAGACTTGTTTTTCAGCCTCACTTGCAGATAATTGGAGTCATGTTGTTGAGTTCTGACTTATGGGGCTGAGCGGAAGGGAAAGTAACACACACTACTTTTGCACAGCCATAAAATGCCCTGCACTTTCCTTTCCTCTACCGTGGTCTCCAGAGAAGCCACCATGGAGGTGGTGATGTCACCAGGTGGGAGAACCTGGAAAGCCAGACTCCCCTGGAAGCTTCCCTGCTAGCACTGAAAGTGCCGTGGGACATCAACCTCTCTCATGTTAACTCACAGACGGGGAAGGTGTCAGTGTACTTGTATGTATTTTGAGACATGTAGAAATTGATACTTTAATAAGAGGTATCACCATCTCAGAAACATTGACTGTGTGGCATTGGCTTAGGGCAATCATTGTGTGCAGCAAGGAAACTGGTACAAGAAACTGGAAAATGTTGATCCGTGTTAGTCAGTGGCAAAAATATTGCAATAGTTCTGGAGTTGGTCCCAAGCCTTAAAAGGCAGCAGGCTTAGGAGAAGGGTCTGTAAATAGTTACTACTGTGTGTCCAGGGATTGGGGGTGAGCCAGGAAATGCTAGACTAATTTATAAGGAATGAAAGGAAATAGAGCCCAGAAGTTTAGATCCTTGAAGATTTGGAAAAACACACTGCCTCTAAATTCCAAACAGTAAACAATGGGATCAAACCTTTAAGTGTTGAAGACCAGTTAGATTTTGCAGTAGATCTGCAACTCTTCACAAAGGGTACATGACTGGTGTAGCCACCATTTCTGAGAGAAAGGCATAGGGACAGGAAAACAAAGGAAGAAAGTGGCACTGAGAACTTTGTCAAGGAATGTATTGTGTGCAGCACTCAAGGGGTCTGGTTGGGCGTGGTGGCGCATGCCTGTAATCCTAGCACTCAGGAGACTGAGGCAGGAGGATTTCTGAGAGTTCAAGGCCAGCCTGGGTTACAGAGTGAGTTCAAGGTCAACCTGAACTGCATAACACAACCCTGTCTACCAAAAGAAAGAGAGACAGAGAGAAAGAGAGAGAGAGTCTGAAGCATTTAAGTTTTGGAAGGAATTGAATTACATCATAAACCATGAGCCCTCACTGAAAAAACCTTGACCATTTAAAACTCAGGTCTTGGCCTAACATTTTTCCATGACAGGAGGCAAACTCTGAAGGTGCTGCACTTTCACATGTGGCACAATCACTTACTGAAAGACTCCCGAGTGCTGCTGCCTGACTTGCATTAGACTCTGCTGAGAGTGTGGAATAAACCTTTATTGGTTTCAGCTGTTGCGTTTTTAGAGTTGTCTGTACAATAGCTACCAATGCTTATCATTGAGTAGTTTGTGTTGTTATTATTATTATTATTATTTTATTATTATTATTTGCAGTGCTAGGGATTGAATCCAGGACCTTAGGCAAGCACTGTACAACTGAGCTATACTCTCAGTCCTATAATTTATTTATAAAAAGAAAATAAAAATGTTTAGTGTGACAATAACTTGGGAAGGGGTCATTGGAATGAAAAGTTATCCTAGAGAAAAAAGATTTTAGCTAAGTTTACATTGACTAAATTAACTATTTACACTATAATTCCTTCTTTCTTCTTTCTTTCTTTTTTTCCTGTGTGGTACTAGGGATTAAACCCAGGGGCACAGAGCTACATTTCTAGCCTACTTTAAAACACTTTTTGACACAGGGTCTCACTAAGTTGCCCAGACTGGCCTCAAACTCATGATCTTCCTGCCTCAGCTTCAGGAGTAGCTGAGATTACAGAAGTGCCATCATGCTTGTGCTTTAATTTCTAAGGAAACTGCTCAAATAATTAAAAAGGGGTATTTAAAATAAGTAGAAGAGGAAGTAATACAAGGAAAAATGTACAGTAGAACCCAAAATAGACTAAAGTATGGTTGGGAAGAGATCCGTCAACCTAATGATGGGCACACCCCCAAATTCAGTGTATCAGTATTTACAAAGAAATAGGTGGGATAAATGTGTTAGCTAAAAGACAAAGATTGGATTCTAAGAACTGAATAAGAATCTCAAATCCGATTGTATGCCATTTGCAAGAAACATAAAAAATGCAAGGATACACAAAGGTTACATGTAAAAGGATAGGTAAAAATCCATTCCTTGGTTTAGACAAATTCTAAACCAAAGGAAAGCAGTGTTATTTAATTAATATCAGGCAAAGATATTTTTAAAGGTAAAAATATTTCTAGAGATAAAGAAGGTCAATCTTCATAATAAAAGTTGCACTTTACTGAGAAGATATAACAGCTTAAAATATGCATGCACTTAATAACACAGGCTCCAGATAGAGCCACATGAGAAACAGACATGTCATAATCATAGTGGGAGATATTTTTGGACACAATCTTCTCAGTAATTGCTAGAACAAGCAGAAGACGATAATAAGTAGGGATATAGAATGTACCACATAATGAAATTTCCCTACCCAATGGGTATATGTAGAGTATTGCACCCTACAACTCAAAAACACATTTTTTAAGCACATAAAGAACATTTTGAATACACTGAGCCAAAGAGAAATTACCAGTAAATTTCAAAGCATTAAAATCACACAGCATATGTTCTCTGACTATAACACAATTAAGCTAGGGCTCCATGGCATAAAGATAACTAGAAATACCACATATGCTTTGAAATTAAGAATCATGTTTCTAATTAACCTTTGAGTCAAAGAATAAATCCAAGTTGAAACTAGGAAATATTTAGAACCAGACAACAAGGAACATTCTATATATTGAAGCAGTTCTTAGAAGAAAATTGAAGTCTTAAATGAATATTTTGGGAAAAAATGGACCTCATTGCATTTTTAAAAGTTGGAAAAGAACAAAATATGTAGAGCAGAGGATATAATTAAGATAAGATTCAGGATTTTTTGAAATAGGAAAATATCAGTGATATAGAGGGGATCAACAAGCTAAAAGTTAGTTCTTTGGAAAAACTAATTAAATTGATGAACTTTGGCAAGACTAATGAAAATGATAAGAAAAAGCACAAGTCATTTTTCTTAAGAAAGAAAAAGGGGCACAAGTATAGGTAATATTCATCCTTAAAAGATAAGAACATAGTATGCACAAATTATTCCAACAAACTCAAAAATTTAGATAGGAAGGAAAATTCTTAGAAAAAATAACTTATGAAAAACTGATTTGAGATAGAACACCTGACTAGTTTCATAGCTATTATGAACACTAAACCAGTAATGAAAATTTTGACCTTCAGAAGGCTTCCCTCATGAATGTTACCAAACCTACAAGGAACAAATAATTCTAATCGTATTCAAAAATTAGGTACAGAAAAAGAGAAATATTCCTCAACTGTGATTATGGAGATTTGTATAATTTTAATACCTTGACATCAAATCCTGATAAGAATAATGTAAGTAAAGGAAGTTATAAGCCATATATTACTCGTCAATATGGCTGCAAAGTTCTTTAAAAAATGATTTAGCAAACTGAATTTGTGAATGTATTTTTAAAAGACGCTGTGATGAAGTTATATTTGTCCTAGGAATGCAAAATTGATTTAACACTAGAAAAATCAATTAATATAATTCACCGTTTAACAGATTAAAGGAGAAAATAAGTGATCATCTTAATGTGATTATATTACATGCACAAGCAATGGTCTGATAAAGTTAAATATCTATTCACAATAAATACTCTTAACAAGAGAAAATTTCCTAAACTGATAAGGTTTTCTTTCTTTCTTTCTTTCTTTTTTTCTTTTATAAAATCCTGCCACAAATGTCAGACTTGGTGAAACATTAAAAGCATTCCTTTTGCAATCAAGAAAACAGCGAAAATGCCTGCTATTAATACCTACTTTCTACAGTGTCCTGGATGTCCTAGCTTACACAGAGATGTAGTAAGAAGAATTAAATGGGGGAAAGATTAGAAAAGAAGAAACAAAACTCATTATTTTCACATGCTATGCTTGTGTTAAAAAACATTAAGAGAGGGGCTGGGGATTTAGCTCAGCGGCAAAGCGCCTGCCTGGCAAGCACAAGGTCGTAAATTTGGTTCCTGGTACTGGAGAAAAACCAAAAAAAAAAAAAAAAAATAAAGAGATTCTAAGATAAATCCTCAGGTGCTATATTTAGACAGAAGGGCTGGAGAGGTCCTCTGCGACAGGTGACATGTGACTTGAGCCAAAGGTTCTGAAAGACTGAATTAAGTGAAATCTATGGTAAAGACATCCCAGGCAGAGGGAATAAATGCACAATGGCCAAAAAGGAGACAGAGTTTTGTTCTGTGGGAAGAAGAGAAAAGAGGCTTCTTTGGCCAGAGCAAAGCAGGCAAGAAGAAATTACTTAGCGATAGCAGGATCTGAGCATGTGCTACCATAAGGATTTTGGATTTTATTATCAGAGAAATGGGAAACCATTCAAGAGTTATTGGTAACAAGTGTACCATGTTGGTAGTGGGGGCTGGAGGGAAGTAACAGTATAGGGGAGCCCTCCGTACTCTCTGCTCAATTCTTCTGAAAATATAAAACTGGCCTGAAAAATAAAGTCTACCAATTAAAAGAAACTAACTAGCTGGGTTGTGTGGTTTGGTGCAGGCATGGTACAGGGACATCTCTGGTTTTGGCTTCAGGATAGAGTTTGACCAAAAACTGCTTTGCTTAAGGGCAGAGGGGAAACTTGAGTGAGTTTGTTCCCAAGGGTGTGATAACACCGATGGATTACAAAGTCAAGCCAGGTCATGAAGGAAGTGGGACACTAAGGAAGTACTGTATGTGTGATTGGCGGGTTGGTCAGAGAATTGTGAACTGATCAGGGTGTTAAGACCAGAAGGAGGAGGCACACACCTAGAGAATTTTGCACACCCAGATTGTGAAGTAAAGTTTCAGTTGCTTGTGGCTTTAGACACATTGCACACTTCACTTCCCTAAGTATACCAAAATATTCGTGTTTCATTGGAAAACAATCTTGGGCGCATCCCAGACACAGGGACTCTTGTTCTCTCAGTGGCTGTGCATGGGTGTCTTACACTGACCATTCGCTCAGGTGCCTGTCCCGTGCCATCACTTCCCGACCCTGGAGAAATCTGTCATCTAAGTGCGAGGCTTAGCTCTGATCTTCTAAGATTTCCAGATCACAGAGACAGAGTTCTGCCAGCCATGCTGCCCTTCTCCACCCCAGAGTGGGGAGGGCACTGTCAGCTTAGGCAGATGGCATCAGCCAGTGGTGGGTGACACACACATGTCTCAGAACATGCTTTATGTGGTTTGTACAGTGTGATTATTTTAAACATTAAATTAATAACTAATTCACATAAAAATACAGATTTCTGGTTTCTCACAAAAAATGGAAACTGACAATAATAGTGCATAGGCCAAATTGTTTTGTTTTGTTTGGTTTTTGGAGACAGGGTCTTGCTCTGTAGTCCAGGCTGGCCTCAAACTCATTATGTAGTCCAGGTTGGCCTTGAACTCAAAGTGATCCTCCTGCCTCAGCCTCGCAAGTGCTAGGATTACAGGCATGCACCATCATGCCTGGAAATAGGCCAACTTTTTGGCATAAGTCACCTTGATTTCTAGGTAAGTTCCCCTGAAGTTGTGTGTTGTGCTGGATCTGCCCAAGTAGGAATGAATTACCTGTTCACCTGAGGCAAATATTCTGGGCCAGTACCTCTTCCTTGGCCCACTATATTGCTTTCCTGTAGACACTGGAGTTTGCCAGCCTGCGTAAACCAAGTCCAGGGCTCAAGTCTGTTTCCTAGGCCCTCGTGCTAGGGTTCCAGATAGATTTTCTGCTCTAGATCTCACAGTTACATGCAATCACATGATCTCCTCAGCCCCTGGATGCCCAGGACAGAGAGAGACTTGCAGGGCACGCTGCCTTCATTTTACCATGCTAGACACTGGGCTCCAACCTGGCACTGAGAGAATACCAAGGACAACAAGCCATGCCTTTCACTGGGTCTTTTCCCTACTCTCTAGAGCTAGCAAGAGGCCAGACTTTTTCCAGGTGGCCCCAGGGACTTGGGAGAGTCCAGTGACCCCAGACTCAGCTCCAGGGAATCTGACAGATTTGGCTGACAAGTGCAACTCTGTTAGGAATGTGTAGTGGACAGGCAATAGGGCAGGAGCGCCCTGGATAGGGGAACTTCTCCTGTAGAGGGTGTCCTGGAGCTGAGTTTGGAGGAGAACCTACACAGAATAATAGAAGGCCACTTTTGGCATGAGTGAGAGACTAGGCTGTGATTTAGGGCACCAGGAAGTTAGAGAACTCTGAGGTGGGAAGGAGAGGGATTCAGCAGTCAGGCAACTTGGATTTGAGACCCAGGCCTGCCTCTTGTTTTTCTTGGAGGCTGGGAGACTTTGGGGGTCATCATTGAACCATCCGTGCCTCAATTTTTCTCATCTACCCATGGGATATTAAAAGCAACCTTCCCTCAGAGTTGTGAGCATAAAATGAGGTATGTTATGTCAAGGGTGTAGGACTATGATTTACATATGTTAAGTGCTTGATAAGTATGAGTTGCTGTGGTTTATTGTTATTTGATAGAGAAGAGGACAGTGCTTGGAAATCCCCTCTTGGTGCAGGTGAGGGACCAAGGCCCACAGAGAAGCAGGTACATCTCCACTCTGGGTCAGTGAAATGCAGGGACCAGAGATCCAAGTCTCCAGGCTGGTGGAAGCTATCCTTTGTCTCCCTTGCATAAGCACAGGAGAGGAAGGGGAACTGGCTGGTGGAGCCCCCAAAAGACAGCGCCTGTCCCTAGGAGTCGGCTTTCCTGGATCTGAGGGGCAGTTGCCTAGGGGAAGACCTTACCAAGCGGAAGGTCCGAAGCACAGACAGGCTTCCTTTCTTGACCATGCTCAGCTCCAGCAGGCTCACAGTGACGATGATGCAGTCAAAGATATTCCACTTCCTCTGGAAGTAATAGTAGGGGTCGAAGGCAATGATTTTGAAGACCATCTCAGCAGTAAAAAATATGGTAAAGACCTGTGGGTAGAAATAAGTTTTCATCACAGTGGGGTCACTGGGACCAGCTGGCAATGACAAAAGGAGCAGAGGGAACAAATCTGTTTTACAAAATAGCAACTCCTTTTAACTGTGTTCCATTCCACTCTGGATTGTCTGCAGACCCTCGAGGCTCGGGCACGAAACAGTCCATGAGGAAGAACAGAAGAGTTTCTGAATGTGTGTGGGTGATGTGCGGTAGAACTCAGGCTTCCCTTTTGCCATTTTGGTGGTGGTAGGAGTGGAGTAAGTGGATAACCATCAGGATGACTACTATTATATAATTATGTCAGCGAGAAGTCAGTCTAGTGCGTAGTTCAAAGCATGGGTTGTGGGACAACACAGAGCAGATAAAAATCCCAGCTCAGCCTAGCTTGTATAAGCTTGGATAAGTAGTGTATCTTGGTTTCTTCATCTATGTAATGGAGAACCAATACCTATGCAGTTCTTAATAAAGGGCCTGGCAAACAGTAATTCATTTATAAATACAGCGGTTAAGAAGAGGCTAATACATAGTTTCTAAGATTCTTTTTGGCTCTGAGTGTCTTTAAACTCATCTTAAATAGGACAGAATCCTGACATGGACAAAGGTCAGGATCAGGCTCAGCTCATACAAAATCCAGCAGCAAAGGAGACAAGAAAAGAAGAAAGCAAGGTGCCGCTTTTTCTCCTGGCTCCCACGATGAGCCTGGGAAACCGGAGCTGGGTCCCTCTCCCTGTGAAGGAAATAGGCTGTTGGTGACTTTCTAATGCCACAAGACTGAGACTGCATGGTTCAAAGGACAGCCACCGAGCGCTTCTGTAGGCAAGCTGGCACGGCATGCCTGGAAGGTGGCTGCTCTGGTTGTTCTCACCAGCTGTGCAGCCTTGGCGGGTGCCTCCTCTGTGATGTGAGGGTGATGGAAACTGCATGGTAATGTTCACGAATCACCAGACTCATCAAAGGGACAACACAGGCCCCTTCCCCCCCTTCCCCTCCCCTTCTCTTCCCCATCTCCTCCTCTCTCTCTCCTTCCCCCTCCCTCTCTGTCTCTTTAAAACAATAGCCCTGTGCCCTGACACAATGGGAAAGACCTTTTTTTCTCCTGTCTCCACTTCTCCAGTGTAAGAGAAGGGCATGGCCTCCAAGGTTGATTCCACAAGGTTTTCTGTGGTCTAACGCCGCCTTCTGGGAAATAAGCCAGAATGCCCACTGCCTGGTTTCTCTTTTCATCTCCACTGTAAGCAGAACAGGCATTCTCGGCTTTGGTGTTGCTGAACCATGAGGCACAGAGTTCTGGAAATGGTTGCATCCACTTACCACCCCTGGCTTATGGGGAAGGGGCAGGCTTCCAGGGAAGAGGAAGGGAAGAGCAGTCCTGATCCCTCAGGGGCTCTCTCTACTCTGGGCTGCAGCCTCTGAGGGGTCAGAGGAGATGTATGTCCTTGCAGACCCGGTAAACCATCCTTAGAGAAGTGGACACCAACATGAAGCTGGAGACAAGACCCCAATCCTTCCTAGCTTCTGCTTACTATGTGTGCCCTACACACATAAGTGTACAAACACACACACACACACACACACACACACACACACCATGCAAGCAGGGCCTGTGAGGTGGTTCAGACATTGGGGGAACAGGTACAGGCTTGGGAGGCAGTCTGCTGGGCCCCAAATCCTGGTGCTACCACTTACATCTATGATATGGGCAAATGATGTAACCGCCTATGTCTCAGTCTTTCTGTCTGTGAAAGAGGTTAATAATAGTCTCTGTCATAGAGGCTTGCTGTCAAAATGAATTAGATAACCCATGAAAAGCATCTGAGGCCATGCCTGGCTTTGAGCAAGTGTTCATGTAAAGTTAGCTATTATTACTATTCCTGTGGGTGGAGTAAGGTTTGGGGCAGGTACCTCCTCTGAGCAAGATACTTCATTTAGCATGTAGTGAAATCTAGTGTGGATTTTACCTTGTTGAAAGCAAAGAATACTAAAGTTAGTGGAAGAAAATGTAAAGTCATATTATGTTTGAACTAGATGCAAGAGGAAAGCTCCAACTCTGTGATTTTTGCTACAGGAGCAAGTATATTTCCATGCGTCCTCCCTTCCTCCCTCCACCTCCCTCTTCCTCCTCCACTCTTTCTGTACTTCAGCGACAGCACTGAAAATCACAGACGCTGTTAACTGCAGTCATCAACATTAATTAAATTGGAAGGAAACTTACAACTCCCCAGGTTGTCTTTAGATGGGAAAGTGACATTTGTCCTCTTTTCAAGGTAGAGCCCACATAGATCCAGAGAACTCAGTGGCTGTCCTATGTTCTGGAAAGGGGAACTGGCTGCTCCTAGCCCAGGGTTCTCTCTGCCCACTTTCTCCTGCTTATTTATCCCAAAACAATTCTGCCCAGTGCAGGCTGGGCCCACCAGACTCAGCTTCCTGAGCTCAGTGTCCACATATCTCCCACAGTGCCGCTGTGTCCTCAGCTAGTGAGAACAGCACTCGCCAAGGACAGCACTTCCCAGCCCATGCAAAGCCCCAGCAGCACAGGCAGTGCCTGGCAGGTCACTCACGATGTTGCCACTCTGCAGCATGGATTCGAAGGTGGAGCTCATGCCGTGGTGCTCCATGGCCATGAAGACTGTATTCACCACGATGCACAGGGTGATGGTGAGCTCTGCGAAGGGGTCTGTCACCAGCTCGAAGAGAACTGCCTTGAGCTTTACCCACGTGGGGCAGCACTCCCAGATCAGATACTTCTGAGCCAAACTGGTCAAGCAGGGTGGGCACCTCTGTTCTGACTCCTCAAGTTCTGCATTACAGGAGGGAGCAGCGACAGCTGTGAGCCATGTGTGTCACTGTGGACTCCCATCCCACCACGGCCACAGCCCAGACCCTGCCTTCCCAGGAACCACCACCTCCAGCACCTCAACCCCAGCCTGATGATTGCCACTTCCTCCTTGCTGAGTGCCAGTAGTCTTGCAGCTTCAATCCAATCTCTCCCTCCTCTGGGCCTCGAAGTCACTGAGCTCACAGACTTCTAGTGCCCCTCCTCCGTGGCTTTCCTTACTGCTCAACTTACCCAGCTTAGATTCACACCCATCCTTGGCCCACTCCTTTGCAAACACCCTCACTTCCTTTGCCCCGGCTCCCCAACTGTACTTGCTTAACAAAGCACTGACTGAATAACCCCAACTCAAAGGTTACTCGGCATTTGTACACAGCCAGCAGACCTGGTTGGACAAAACACACAACCAAGCTTCCTGCTCCCTCTAGAGGTTCCTGGGTTCTCGCCCGCCCCTGCCCAGCAGGCGTGCTAGGCTTCTGTATTGCAGTCCACTCCTTCGGCCTTTCATACCATGGTCTTACTTCATGCTCTCCTCCAGAGTTCAACTCCTCGCTCTGCCGACAAGCTCCCTCTAATTTCACTCAGAACACAGAATCCTTCTCAAAAGCACTTCTTCTTCAGACCACGACATCTCCACTACCCCTTCAGGGCCTCCCCACTTCCTGCCTTTGGTCCCAAACTGTGGGTGAGCTACTCTGCCCTTATTTGTGTGTTGCCTGTTTCTCTCCATGCTGGATTGCCCTGGTTAGCGTGTCAACCTGCTTTAATTCTATCTCAACTTTGGAAAATTGCCCCTAGACCCCATGTTCTTCATCTACTTTAATAGCACAATCTCTTGCAAGAGTTTTCTACTTCCTCAGCTCCTCTCTGCAGACTCTGGACTCTGGCTTCTATCCCCTCAAATTCAGATTGTTAACGTCCGGTCCTCACCCTCCTGTGCTTCTCGCAGCACTTGACATGATTTATTTACTCTCTTTGGAACCTTGTGTCCCGTTGGCTCCAGGACATCACGATCTCTTGATTGTCTTCTACTTCTATCAGTGACATGTAGTCTAAATTTCTGTTCGTGTCCCACTCTCTTTCCTGACTTTAAATGTTAGAGAACTCAAGCATGTGCTCCTTAGTCTCCATTTTTTTCTCTCTAGAGAATCTCACTGAACCCTAAGGTCTTAAAAAAACATTTCCATAATGACTCTCCCTAAATTAAATGTCCGGTTTCTGATCTCCCCCTTGAACACTGGACTCATCTCTTTGGATGCCTTCATCAAATGTCTGCTTGTTCTGTAACTGGGGCCATGTCAATGAAGGGCAGCTTCGTAGCTTTGTGTTTATCTGTAAATTTCCTGCATGACCTACATCCTGTAGATACATCAGTTCACGCGGGTGGGTAAAGAAATATGGCGTCCATTGTTTACAATAATGATAAAAAAGAAATAATGGCAATGTGATGTCTTGAACACTTTTGGCGGAAGATTCTTAGAAGGGGAATAGCTAGGTCAAATGGAATTTCTAGTTTTAGTTTTTTGAGGAGTCTCCACGATGGTTGTACTAATTTATATTCCCACCAACAATGGAGAAGGGTTCCTTTTTCCACACAGCCTCACCAGCATTTGCTATTGTTTGATTTCTTGATGGTAACCATTTCTTCTGGAGTAATATGCAATCTGAGTGTTGTTTGAATTTACATTTCTGTAATGGTCAGAGATGTTAAACACTTTTTCATATATTTATTGGCCATTTGTGCTTTTTCTCAGAAGTGTCTATTCATTTCCATTGCCCATTTTTTGATTGGTTTTTTTATTTTTTTGGGGGGGTCTAACTTTTTTGAATTCTTTATATATTTCAGATATTAGTCCTTTGCACTTTGAGAGCATAATATTAAGTGAAATAAATAAGACACACAAGCTTAAATATTGCACAATTTCTCTTCTATGAGAAACACAAAATATAAAGAGCAATATTAAAGATAAGTAGTAGGAAATAGGGAGACAGATCCTTTGTTAAACAGATGGGGACCAAGTGATGGAGGGAATGGGGAAATAGGGAAAGGAAATGGGATGAAAAAACTCAAGATGTATAATGTAAAAGACCAACTTCACACTAGGACTGTAATCATGTACTGCAAACATACACCAATAGAAAAAGAAAAGAATAATTAAGTACATTATGAAAAAAGATGAGACAGATTGATTTGTGATCATATAGAAATATATTTCCATATATGTGATGTGTGTGCTCACATGTGCATAGACTATTACTTGGAGGATACTAAAAGAAAAAAATGTACCAGGTGGCTGAGGAGTAGCTAGGATTTTTTTTTTTATTTTTTTATTTTTTTTATTTATTTATTTATTTATTTTTTGCAGCACAAGTTGAACCCAAGGCTTTCACCCTAAGCTACATCTCTAGACTCTTTTTTTAAAAAAAATATAGTTTCACTAATTGCTGTTGCTCAAGCTGCACTCAGACTTGTGATCCTCCTGCCTCAGCCTCCTAGAATGCTAGACTTCTATGTGTGCATTACCACACTTGGCTTGGAGACTCTCTAGTGGCAGGGAAATAGTTTTCATTGCACACACATTTCTAGCGTTCACATTTTTCATAATATGCTGTTTTAAAATAAAATGAGTTTATAGAAATAATTGCATGCTCCTAAATTTTGCTAACAGTGTCTTTTCCTTATTAGCAGTTTAGAACTTTTTATGTAGTTGGATTTATCAGTATTTGGCTTCATGTTTTCTTGCATTCATACTTTGTGGTTTTTTTGGTTTTTCTTTTGGTTTTTCTCCGGTACCAGGAACTGAACTCACGACCTTGCGCTTGCCAGGCAAGCGCTTTTGCCACTGAGCTAAATCCCCAGCCCCCATTCATACTTTGTGTATGATGCCTTTCTTACTGCAAGGTTTAAAAGAATACTTGTCAATGTTTTTCTTTTTTTAATTTCATTTTTTCATTTAAAATTTGGGTGCATTTGTAATTTATTTTGGATAAAGTGTAAGATATTGGTTCTGTTCATTTTTCCCAGTCCCTGATTATTTATATCAACATTACTTTTTCAGTAATTTCTCCTCTTCCTTGAGGGTTGGAAATGCTGTCTTTGTCATACACTTTTTATTTATGTCCATGTATTTTCACACACACATGTCCGTTTCTTTCCACACATCAAACTATATATTTTCACTATCAAGCTGTTTTAATTGCCTACTGTGAATTTTTGAAATTACAAATGTCAAAACTGGCAGAACATAGTTCTCTAAAGAAGTTGGCACATCCTGGGAACAAAATCAGTAATTTCTCTTTGGAACAAAAATGGTCCTTCCCTGGTTCTATTTTGACACTAAGAAAAAGCCACAGGAAGTAGCGTGGAGGAGGGAAACTTGCAGACATGGCTGTCTGTGGGGCATGATGGGAGAAGAGATTCAGCTTTCTGACCCACATTAACATTGCTGACCTTGACTGACTGGAAGATAACAGAGGCAAACAAACATCTCAGGGTTCCTAGCTTGAAACAGGGTGATGGCTCCTTCCCAGATGGATCTTCAGAAAGAGCTGCCCTCTTGTCACACTGAAAGAGGCATCCTTGTTCTTGACAATGCTTGTGCATTTTCTCCTGCCCTGTCAGGAATCCTATAAATATGCCCTCTTTTTCCTTAATCTTCAATCTCTCCCATTCTCCAGATCCTTCTCATCTACTCAAAGGAAACAAACCAAAACTCCAAAATGGGAAAACCAGTCTTCCTTTGATTCTGCCTGCTCCCTGGTGTCATTTAACTCTACCTGCCCTTTCAGAGGCAAACTTCTTGCAAAGGTGTTTGCACATGGTATCTCCGTTTCTTCACCTCATGTTCATTCCTCTAATGTGGCCTCTTCTGCTCTGCTACTCCACTCAGATCAGCAAAGGCATCCAGGTAACTGAAGCTCCTGGGTGTTTCTCAGGCTTAATTTGACCTGGCTTTTCTATGGCATTGCCTCTGTGGACTCTTCTGTTCTTTCTGATGGAATTTAGACCCTGGATCTACACTCTTCTGGGTTTTCTGCTGTCCCCACTCCTTGCTTCTCAGATTTCTTTATTGGCTCTATGTCTTCCTCTCAACTATTAAACATTGTGGTTTCTTAGAACTCTGTCCTGGGCCTACTTCTCTTCTTACTCGATCTCCTCTATATCATCTTATCACCTGCATCTTTTCAAAATTACCATATATCTTTAAATTGCTATCAAACATACATCTCTAGGACATCCTCCTCATCAAAGTTATAGAACCATTTACACATTGACTGCATTTAACACAAATGTCTCACTGGACATTTTTTCCCAGATGTTCCAGGGACACATGACACCCAACACCCCTTAGACTCAACTGATCATGCCTTTTGTTTCCCCCAGCAAAGCGCCTGCTCCTCATGTGGTGGGTTGACAACTGGTGGTCACCTTGTAACATCCAGCTGAATTGAGTCAGTGTGGTGCTGGACGTGGAAGGCCCACCTGAGGATTGCTGCCAGCAAAATAAAAAGAAGAACTAGAGAAAGAAGCAAAGCTGTTGGGAGCTGTTTGTTCTCTTGGGGCCATTGGTTCTCCTGGAGGAGCTTGTCATGCTGGCTTTCCTGATATGAACTCAGTTGTTCTCGTCTTCAGAGGAGCTCAGGACCTTGTTGTCCCTGGGAATAGCTATGGTTCACTTTGGGGGAACTCCAGGCCTTACTCTGAGCATCACTTCGTGGCTCTGAAGGTGGAGATGGTGCACTGTTCAGTGTCTTAGAGAAGCTTGTCGTACTGGCTTTCCTGATGTGGACTCAGCTGTTCTCTTCATTGGAGGAGCTCAGGACCTCGTTGTTGCTGATGATGGCTGTGATACTTTTTGGGGGAGTTCTGGTTCTTTCTCTGAGTGTCACTTCCTGGCTCCAGTGCCAAACCCTCAGCCCGCTAGAACAGATCCTTCAACAGCTGTTCTAGCTTCCACCACTAG